TAGGGACGTGGACCCTCCTCCACAGGGCGGTCGTGGGGTCTGATCACGCAAGACCCGTACACATCCACTTCGGTCCCGCCTGTCCTCCCCCGTCGGACCCACGTCTCCCCGTGAACTCCGGCACACTCTGGGGTTGCTGGGATACAAAAGGGAGATGACTGGGGAAATCGAAAGGCAGCGCCAAACTGCCCCCAACCACTCTGCTACCCCAAACCCAGGATTGTACGTCTGTTACTGTGTAGTCACAGAAGCAGGAAGCGCATCAACATCCGCCTTCCGGGACTGGGCTGCGCTTCTGCTTCGAGTTCTCTCTAGGAATGCGGGAGGACTTTGCATCTGTGTTCACCAATCGCAGGGTTAGGCTTTGGGGAGGGAAGCTCTCCCCTCAGCTCAGCTTTAACCCTCAGGAAAAGGGGGGTTACGTTTCCCTGGGTACCACTCTGTTCTGATAGGTATACGTTTCTCCTACTTTTCCTTATTGATGGCAGTAATTGTAATAATTCTAGTTATTACCAAACAAGACTACTACTTAGTGGTTGTGTGTCTGTGGCAGAGGAACTGCAACAGAGGAAAATCAAAGTCAAATCAATCATGGTTTCCCTGACATATCGCTTTATACCCACTAGGATGCCGATAATAAAAAAAGTCAGATAATAGGTGTTGGCAAGGATGTGAAGTTGGAACCCTCAATGCACTGTAGCGGCAAACATGCAGACTAATGCAGCACTTTGGAAAATAGCCTGGCATTTAAATTGTTAAACTTAGAGTTACCATATGTCCCAATAATTCCATTCTTAGATATATATCCAAGAGAAATGAAAACTTATACATGAATGTTTATAGCTCTATAATCCCTAATAGTAAAAAGACAGAAACAACCCAAATATACATCAAATTAATAAACAAAATGTAATATGTCCACAAGATGAAATATTATTGGGTCACACAAAGGAATGAAGTACCTATACACGCATCAACATGAATGAATCTTGAAAATATGCTAAGTGAAAGAAACCAGTCACACAAAAAAATAAGTTATTGTGTGATGTCATTCACATGAAATGTCTAGAATAGACCAGTAAATAGACAGTAAATTAATGGTTGTCCAGTCCTTGGGGAGGTATAGGAAGATACTGCTATTAAGTATGACTATTTTTGAGAATGTTCTACAACTAATTGTGATGATGGTTGCACCATCAGCGAACATACTAAAAATCATTGACTTTCATACTTTGCATGAATGGTTGGGCATTTGAATTATACTTCAAAAATGGTTTTATTTTTAAAATACATTTTTATTGATTTCAGAGAGGAAGGGAGAGGGGAGAGAGAGATAGAAATATTAATGATGAAAAAAAGAAATAAAGAAATATTGATGAGAGAGAATCATTGATCAGCTGCCTCCTGCACGGCCCCTACTGGGGACTGAGGCACAACCTGGGCATGTGCCCTTGAACTGAATAGAACCAGGAATCTTTCGATCAGCAGGCCAACACTCTATCCACTGAGCCAAACCAGCTAGGGCTCAAAAATGGTTTTAATAAAAATAATTATTAAAAACAATGAATGGTTTCACAAAACAAAAGTCATTGCTTCTCTGGGTACCTTAATTATGCATTGCCACTTGAATGGGCAGTAATTTCAAATAGACATTCTTTCCAATCCCAGAAGTTATAAGATTCTGAGCTTGGCTAATGTTTCCAGGGAGTTTTCATAATAACAATAATAGAGTTATTATAGTAAGTCAAATGTGAGGCATTTTTGCTGTCAAAATATTATCAGAATAATGATGACTTTTACTATTACTTCGTGAGTAGTTCAAGAAACTTCATCTTTTATAAAACAGTAACTGACACCTTGAATGACTGTTACACACTCTAAATTCTAAGACATGTTTGATGTCGAATTGGTTTGGCTCAGTGGATAGAGCGTCAGCCTGCGGACTGAAAGGTCCCGGGTTCGATTCCGGTCAAGGGCATGTACCTTGGTTGTGGGCACATCCCCAGTAGGGGGTGTGCAAGAGGCAGCTGGTAGATGATTCTCTCTCATCGATGTTTCTAACTCTCTATCCCTATATATTTTATTGATTTTTCACAGAGAGGAAGAAACATTGACCAGCTGCCTCTTGCACACCCCCTACTGGGGATGTGCCCACAACCAAAGTACATGCCCTTGACCAGAATAAAACCTGGGACCCTTCAGTCCGCAGGCCGATGCTCTATCCACTGAACCAAACCAGTGCCAGCAATATATATATATATATATATATATATATATATATATATATATATATATATATATATTAAAGAACAAGACAAGTTTGAGCACAGCAATGGAAAGCCCACAAAAGGAACAGCCACCTGCTGCAGAGGCTACCAATGACGTGATATTCCACGCCCTGAAATGTCCCATTCCTTATGAAGTTTGATAGGAGCTTTGACCTTGCTGTGTTTGCCACTGTTTTTGCTTTCTACTTCCCCAGGACTCTTCAATAATCCACTTGAGTAGGTCTTTGCTCCTTATAATTAGTTGGTTCCCTGACCTATAATCCTCTTGAAAACACTGTATTCCCAGAACTTTTTCCTCCAGATACTCACTCATATTTCTGTCCAGTGTTTCAAGTCATCTCTAAGAGCCATTACATTATTATGCATTGTTTTCCTTTGTATAAACCTGCCCTTTTCCCTCTACCATCACCCCTATTTTTACATTAAAGAGATTGCAGGTAGGTTATTCAATGCAGCTGAGTGGGTGTTTTTTCCATTTATGTAGTGTGTGCGGCAAGGACTTTGGGGACATTTATAATAACGCCATTCTTTGCCTAATGACCTACTGGCACCAGGTACCCAAAGTGGCCTGGTGGTGCTCTGTTTCCAGTTCAGTGGGACGCAAGGTATCTCCTAAAATAAATGTTCTTTAGAGAAACTGGACCAGAACTCAGTAGACTCTAGGTTTGGAGATAGGAAACCCAAATTCCACAAATGGATTACCGGGTGCCACCACTGTTTTGACCCCCTGGTTCGTGTACTCATGTAGTCTTCCTATTATAGACATAATACCATATATGTAAATAATTGGTTCAGTGCATATCAAAGCATGTACCATCTTCCCAACTATGCAAGGTGCTACATCTGATATGAGCAACTTAGCTTCATCTTCAATATGTGCCTTTCCACAGTTCTCTCAGGCTAGCTATCCTATATAATAAAAGGATGATATGCAAATTGTCCCCTCTACCAGGAGTTCGACCAAAGTTCGACCAGGGGGCAGAGCCAGCCCTCCAACTGCCTGTGGACCTTCTCCCTGGCTGTTCCCACCCTTGGTATCGCTCCCCATCAGGGGTGGGGCAGGCTGGCCAACCTCCCATGTCCCCTCCCCTGGATGGCCTGGTCTGATTGCCCCTGATCAGGGCAGGCCAGCCAGACCCCCCCTTACCTGTGAATAATGAGTAAGAACCATTAATTCTGTGGTTACACACTCATTGTCACACCTCCTTGACTATAAAATAGGTTCCTTAGTTTAAGGTATGTCTAATGGATAAGGCATCCTGTAAGCTCACAAATGGTGCTAGCATTGACAAAGTAGTCAGACTTTTAGAGCATGTATCAATTTTAGTGTGATATTTTACTTCTTTTGTATTGATCCATGCCTAGTGCAATGGTGGGCATAAAGGAAAAATTGTAAGGTGCTCATACATTTTCTTCAAAGCTATATAGTTTACCACAAAAATCACAAAATTTGTGAGTTGGTTGTTTCCATCTGCATCATGTAAGGAAATCATCGAAAGAAAATTTTGCTCAGAAGCCAAGTAGTAGCTATTGTTTCTTATCACTCTTTTTAAGGATTGATACCATTGATACTCAAGGAGGAAATAAAGTAAAGGTGTATCAGAATCTCTGAGGCTGATGTTGTTTAAAAAAAAGATATACAATGCCATAGTTTTGTTCTTATTTAATTTGATGTGACATAGCGTTAAAGGATAACGTTTGACTTCTGAGCTTAAAGCAATACTACCTAAATCCCTTCCAAATCACTTTTAAAAAAAAAAAATATATATATATATATACCATTTTCCCGAAAATAAGACAGTGTCTTATATTAATCTTTTCTCCCAAAGTTGCGCTAGGTCTTATTTTCAGGGGATGTCTTATCTTTCCATGCGCTAGGTCTTATTTTCGGGGAATATATATATATATATATATATATATATATATATATATATTTTTTAAGACACTTGCCAGTTCCTAGCAGATTTAGTTTCACAAGACATCACATTCTCTGAGAATCCATGAAATCATAATACCTTAGGGTAGGGGATTCTGTTCAGCAGGCCACCCTGCCTGTCCTAGTTCTCCCTGCTTTCCCTGTCCCTGTTTCTGCAGAGGCCAGTCTTTCCCCCAGGAGTGTGGCTCTCTCCCAGTCTCAGTTTCTCTCTTTCCACTCCTATTTGCTCCATGCCCCAACTCCAGCCAAGAACCTTAGTAGATTCAAATCCTCGGTTTCCTGTGCACCTCCTATAATCAGGGTCTTCAACCCTCTCTTTAACCAGTATTCTGTACCCTGGTGCAGGCTCCCGACTGGCTGATTCAAGCAGGTCCTCCTCTCCAGGTAGCCTCAAGGGTTGGCTGGAGCAGGGGAGGGCCTGCGGGGCGCTTCCCAAGCCGGGGCAGTCCCAGTCATGACTGGGGTTCGGGCTACAAAGGCAGCCAGCGGGCTTGGCCGGGGAGGAGGGCGGCAGGGCCCACAGCCAGCTCGGAGGTTCCCACGCCTCACCTGAGGGCCTCCTCCGGGCCCACATCCGGGGCCCCGCCCTCTGCGCCCGGAAGTGCCAGCGAGAAGCACCGCCCTCCCAGCGGCGTAGAGCGACTCCCCCAAGGTCCGAGGGGCCGCGAGCGAAGGTGTCTGCGGCAGGACGGCAGCCTGGCCCGCTGGGGCGCCCGGGTGAGTCCCCGGGAGCCATCGTGGGGTCGCGGTAAGGGGCGGCCCCAGGTTTCAGCCTGCCGGGGAGGAGGCGGCGGCGGCGGCGGCGGGTCCGGCCGACGGCGGTTTCCGTCCCCGGGAGCGCGCGGGCCCCCCGGGGGTGCGAGGGCCTGTTTCCCCTCAGCCCGGCTTCGCCCCGCGGCCGGAGGGCCCCGCTGTCAGCACCCGGGGGCCGTGCCCCGGTGCCAGCCGGGTGACCGTGGCCTGCCCCGCCTTCGGGGGCCATGTTTTCACCCAGCGGGGCCGTGGGAGGAGGGCAGCGCCGGGAGAGGCCTGACCACCCGCCGCGAGGGCCTTGCCGAGGGCTGCGGCGGGGGGACCGCCCTTTGCCGTGAGGGGGACCGGACCCTGCCGCGTCCTTGGGTCTGGAGGGCACCAGGCCCGTCCGCCTGGGCCGCGGCTCTCCCCTGGGTCCCTGTCGGGATTGAGGGAAGAGGCCTGCCCACCTACCTAGTCCCGAGTCGGAGAAGAGTCTCATCCCCAAAGGGGGGTTTTTGTTATTAGCCTGTGAGACTATAGGGTAATTGAAAATGGGCTGACGGAGTGTTTACCAAGTAATCCTAAGGGGCCTACTCTTAAAAAAAAATAAAAAAAAATGAGTAATCCTAAGTAGCCTATATCTCTGGATACAGACAAATTTGAAAGAAATTTGTAAATCTCAGCTATTTTAAACTTTTTCTCACAAATCTTTACTGTATTAAATGGTACTTTCTTGATTTTTTTTTTCTTTTTTGGAAATGCCACACACTCGTAATTTAGGTGCTTGATCATTATCAACTATTTTTAATGGAGGATTGATAGTGTCTAAGGTACTTTTGCTAAGTGCTCAGGATATGAAATCACGGGCTGTTTTGACTTATTGAAATAATTTCTCCTAATCTCACCCCACAGTGATGGTCATTGCCCTCCAGAACAGGGATGGAGGAAATATCTGTCCAGGAAGCAGCAGGATCACCAAGGGTCCGATTTCAGTCTTTGGAGACCCGGTCTGAGGGTCTCTCCCCAGAGCCTCAGTTCCTGCAGGACACCGACATGGAACAGGGACTCACTGGGGGTAAGGCAGAGACAGCTCCTAAGTCCAGGAGAAGGGGAGTGTAGAGGGGCTTCTGGGCCTGGTATGAGAGAGGCCAGGGACTCCGATAAGAAGATGGTGTCTTAGAGGGAGGTCTGGAAGGGAGGGGCTCGTGGGCCTCAGTTCAGTACTGGTCTTGGGCCCCTCTGTTAAGGACAGCCTGTCTTTCCTTAATAGGCAGAATGGTAGTCACTCTGCTCCAGCTGCTTTTTGATGATATAATCATCCCAGTCGCCACATCCACAATCATTTCTAAGATGTGCCGGTTTTTGGCCACATCTCACAACCCTTGCTTGGCTTTCATTTCCTCTTAGGCTTAGGGCTATCCCTCCCCCTCTTCCCTTCACTTAGTATCTTCTCTCCTGGATGACCTTTCCCTGCTTTGCCTCAGGCCATTCTGTTGCAACTGCAGTGTTTGTGACTAACTTAATTGTGGTCGAGAAAGAACCTGTTCGTGGTTGAGCCCGTATGAATGTTTACGTGTCTTATATTGATTATCCAATAACATTTTTATGTATTACATAGGTAGGTTGATCTGTCCTGTACTTCCTTTGTCCTGTGATCTTATCTCAGAAAACTTGTAGCCAACTGCAGTGAACTACAGTGTGTCAGCAACACTAGGAATGCAGAGTGCTGTGGGGCATTGTGGGAGTGTGGATAGGATTGTGAGGAAACAAATGGCCATTCCTTATTCTTAGCTGCTTTACATACTAGTTGCAGAGATAGTTTCCATTCACAAGATAAAGGCTTAGTGATTATAGAACAGTGTCTGGGAAAGGGTCAGAAATCTATTAGGTAACTGTGGCTCTTGACAAGTCGCTGTAAGTTCTTATGCTTTGCTTTGCCCATTTGCAAAACGGGTATATTGTTTAATATCCTGAATCATGGGTCTAAACTTTTGTAGTAGGACATCCAAGTGCTGAGAAGGAGCAGAGTAGACACACTCAATACCTGACAAATGTCCATTGGTTTTACTAGAATGTTGATGTGAAGAAGGGTCCTGCTGGCTCTCTTCTGTAAGGGAGCCCTGGGCCAGGGCTGCTCTCACTCTTGGCTCCTTTCTCCTCCCTTAGCTTCACCTGTTCCCCAGGTGCCTGCTCTTCCCCACGAGGGAAGCCCAGGAGACCAGGCAACTGCACTCCTGACAGCCAGGTACCAGGTGAGCTTAGGAACCTTCTTTTCCTCAGGGATTGTTGATGCTTATTGAGTGTGGCCCTTCCCTCACCCCATCCATAAACCTTGCCTAGAACTTTTTTAGTAACAGACTCTGGTTTCAGAACTGATCCTCTTCAGAGACCTGGACGCCACACAAACCATCTTCCCAGCTTCTCAACACCACCAGAAAACAGTTTCTTCTTTCTCCCTAGGGTTTTGATGGGGGCTTATTGTTAAAGGGTTATGGGATTTATTCCCTAGATTCTAATCCGTTCTCACTCCCCCCTGACAAATACAGACTGGAGTCTCTATATCATCTCCTTCAGTCTCTGGCCATGATGCTATAGTGGCCTTATTCCCAAGAGCAGCCAGGCTGTATTATTTCAGGAGTTTGTGACATTCGATGATGTGGCTGTGCACCTTACTCGAGAGGAATGGGGATGCCTGGACCCTGTTCAGAGGGATCTCTACAGAGAAGTGATGTTAGAGAATTATGGGAACGTGGTCTCACTGGGTAAGGACTTCTTTTTATTCATTCAGTTGACCTATTGGGATTTCTTTACTGAGTAGGTGTGAGGTCTCTGAGAAAATAGAGTTTGGCTCAGATTCTAGGTCTAAGAACCTCTGAATCCTCTATCTTTAAGGTCATCTCCTCTGGGAGTGGTTTTCCTTTGGGGATTTCTAGATGAGACGTTCTACTCCTTATTCTGAGTTAATGGTTCCTGCTTTTATGGGGTATCTGTTCCCTGTTAGAAAAGGGAAGCTTGCTTGTGCTTTGCCTAAGTTTTCACCTTCGCTATTTTATTTAAATTTAATTTTTATTTTATATGAGAGAGACTGTAGGACCTCCCAACCTATAATGAGACACTTTCTTTCCTGGTAATTCAGTTCCTTTGTATCTGAGATTCCCATTTTCTTTGGAAGAAGAATGCCTTTTTTAAAAAAATATATTTTTATTGATTTCTTACAGAGAGGAAGAGAGGGATAGAGAGTTAGAAACATTCGATGAGAGAGAATCATCGATGAGCTGCCTCTTGCACACCACCCCTTACTGGTGGTGTGCCTGCAGCCAAGGTACATGCCCTTGACCGGAATCGAACCTGAGACCTTTCAGTCCCAGGCCGAAGCTCTATCCACTGAACCAAACCGGTTTTGGCGAAGAATGCCTTTTTTTAAAGATAAGCTTAAATCCTTCTTGTTGAGTAATCTTTTACAAGAGAGATTACTAAATTCACCTTCAAGCAGGCAGAATTTGAGAGACTTCATTTAAAGGCATGACTCACTGTTCATACATTTCAGTGAATCACCAGATGGTAATCCTAAATAACCTCATTCCTAGCAGCAGAAGTCTCAGATTTAAACCAAGTCTCTGCTTTGTCATTTGGTGGTATATAGTAGGCTGCCCAGATTAGGTAACCTGTGGTGCTGTGGAGAAACATTTTTATCAGTGGGGGGTTGATAGCCCCCTTGATGTAAGCATTGCTCCTTTCCTCTCTCCTCCTCTCTCTCCCTTTTTTAAATTTATTTTTTATTTTATTCTATTTTTAAATTTCTATTATTTATTTTATTTTTAAAAAAAAGTATTTATTGATTGCAGAGAGGAAGGAAGACGGAGAGAGAGATGGAAACATCAATGATGAGAGAGTATCATTGATCGGGTGCCTCCTGCACGCCCCCCACTGGGGATTGAGCCCACAACCCAGGCATGTGCCCTTGGCCAGAATCGAACCTGGGACCCTTCAGTCTGCAGGCCGGCACTCTATCCACTGAGCCACACTGGCGAGGGCTTTTGTTGTTGTTGTTACCTGTCTCTGCTTTTGTTCTTTTTTATTTATGTGTGAGTTTAATGAAGGTTTTTCTTTCCTCTCATTTTGCTTTGCCTATGCTGATGGCATCTAGGGTTGTTGCTTTGTCTCCTTGACTACACTCAGGATTAAAGAGGTCTTCTTCTCTGGGGAGGCAGCCTGCCCACTGGGAAGGTTTTAGCGTGTTTTCCATTCGTGGCTCTTTGATCTTTGTAGGCATACTTCTCCGTCTTCCCACCACCCGGATTCATAGTGTGAATTCCTGCCCGGCCCTGAGTCATACCCAGGCAAGTGCTTTCTCTGGAGAAACACTTGCAGTCCTTTCAGCAGGAATCTCCAAGAGATGGCCCAAGTATCGGCTTCCCATCGATATTGCTCATCCCCGCTCGGAAACTACTTTTCCACAATTATAAGATATTACACTTGATTGATGGAATAGATGCTCCCAGGATGCCACCACTATGTAAATTTCAGCTCCTCAAAAGACCTTTGTTAAGTTTCTAAAGGGCCAAGGAAACTCCGTTGCCACCAGATGCATTTTGTATCCTGAATTTTGAGTTCATTCAGAAGCCGTGGTTGGTGGTCATCTACTTGTGTTCTGAGAAACCACCAAGTTCAACTCCAGCTCTTCAGTTCTGATGTTTTCATTTTATTTTAGAATGTGGAATGTTTGTTGCATGCCCCCTCCTTTCTGTAGTGAACAGGACCTGCTCCTTCTGATGCTTAACTCTCTTGTGACCCCAAGCTTTCTTTATATTTAACATTCTAGTCGTCTTCTTTTGAGTCCCTGTGGCCGCCTCCAAGATCCTGACTTTTCCCCCTTTATTATTTGTTGCTAAACAAGATTGATACATTTACATGATCTTTTCTGATTAAGTGTTCCTTAGCTCTGTCCTTGCTAGAGGGGAAATGGGAAGGCAAGAGAGTTCAATTTCTTTATTTCAGGGCATCAAATTGAATGTATATTTAACAATTTTGTATACTGTAAAGTGATATGTAATTACAAGATACTATAAATTTTATCTAATAATAACATAATTTCCAACAGTTCCCCTGTCTACTTTTTGGAGTAAAGCAACTTCTTAGCAGCTTAATCAGCCGAAAAGCACAGCATGCTAGTTAACTGAATTTCGTTCAATTTTCTCACATCTCTTCATATACACAGGACACTCATGCACATTTATACACATCTGGGCACACATGCACACAAGAAATCCTCATATTCAGTTTGCTCTTGTGATAGGAGCATCTCCTTAGTAATTATTTTCTATTTCCTTGGGAAGACCTTTCATATTTGTGGGTTCAGCAAATTCCATGTGAATTTTAAAGTTATACACTTACTTAACTTAGCTTAATGTTGATATTATAAAATAATGACTTTTATAATTCAGTCCCTGACTTAGCAGCCACACATCTTTTTTCCCATGGCAGTAGCTCTTTGGTGTATTTGTCACAGACATCAGAACTTTGGTCCTTTGGTTAAGTGCTTTGAATATATTGTAGTAAATAAAAGAATATGCCCTCTCTGGTTTGGCTCAATGGGTAGAACATTGGCATGCAGATTAAAGGTCCTGGGTTTGATTCCCATCGAGGGCATGTACCTTGGTTGCAGGCTCCTCCCTGGCCCAAACCCTGGTCGGGGTGTATATGGGAGACAACCAATGTTTCTCTCACATTATTGTTTCTCTCTGTCTTTCCCTCTCTTTTTCATTCTCTTTAAAAGATCAATGGAAAAATATCCTCGTGTGAGGATTAACAAAAACAAATAAATAAACCCCAAAGTATAGAGTATGAACAGCTGAGTAAAAGAGTGAAAAAGTTTAGAAAATCATAATTTTTATTACCAAATCTAAAAAGAAGCATACTCTATTAACAATGTATGAATTACTGGCCTGAGGGTCATACCCAAAGGAAAGTTATATGTGACTTAGTGTTTAAAATTAAATACTGGACATTAAGACTGGGAAAGAGGCCTGGATTGCATTGCAAGTGAGACAGAGTGCTGGGTGCTTGATTAGATGATAGCATTAGGAACATGTTTATCAGAATGCTGGTTCATGATAAGTGAGTTTATCAGGAATGTTTGGCACATATCCCCTAACTTTATATATTTTTTAAATTTTTTATTGATTTTTTACAGAGAGGAGGAGAGAGGGATAGAGAGCTAGAAACGTCGATGAGAGAGAAACATCGACCAGCTGCCTCTTGCACACCCCCTACTGGGGATGTGCCCGCCACCAATGTACATGCCCTTGACCAGAATCCAACCTGGGACCTTTCAGTCCGCAGACCGATGCTCTACCACTGAGCCAAACCGGTTTCGGCTCCCCTAACTTTAAAAACAATATATTTTATTAATTTTTTACAGAGAGGAAGGGAGAGGGATAGAGAGCCACACCAGCCAGGCAAAATTTTAAAAATTTAGAGGCTTGAGCTACAAAAGAAATCTATGCAAATGCTATTTTTAAGAGCACAGAATTCGACCTAAATTTAGGAAAAGGCATTTATTTTTATTGATTTTAGAGAATGAAAGGGGGGGCGGAGAGAGAGCAAGAGAGAGAGAGAGCAAGAGAAACATTGATTTGTTGTTCCACTGAATTATGCATTCATTGCTTACATCTTCTATGTACCCTGACTGGAGATTGAACTTGCAAGCTTGGAATATATGGAACACACTCAGAACTACCCATCCAGGGCAGGAAAAGAAAGACCAATGGCAAGAAAACCTGCCTTAATGCTTTCTAAGACCCTTAGTGTGGTAGAGTAGAAAGAATATAAACTCTGGAATTAAACTTGGGTTCCAGTTACCAGCTGTGATACACCGAGAAAGTATTTAAACTCACACTCATTTTCTTCACCTATAAAACATGAAAAATAGTGTCTTCCTTTTGGTTTGTGCCAAGGATTAAGTTAGATTATGTTTATAATTACCTGGCTCATGGTAGTTACTCAAATGCTTGTTTGAAAAGGACAAATGATATGAGAGTGTTCAAATTATTTCTTTACAAGTGCAATTTCCTCAAATTGAATATTGCTCTGACTGTGCCTAGAGTTTGGATTTTTATTATAGTTTTTATTTTTTATTTTTTTGGCACTAAAGATCTCTTAGAACCCTTTTAATGAAAACATTCATGATTCTAAATCTTTTGGATCCTGGTTCTCCAATCACTATTTCTATTTTTTTTATTATGTTTACTATTTATTCCATTATCAATATATTGGTATTCTGTTCTCTTTCTATACATATTTTGGAGGAAGGAATGGATTTCATTCACAATTTAAAAAATATATATATTTTATTGATTTTTTTACAGAGAGGAATAGAGAGCTAGAAACGTCGATGAGAGAGAAACATCGACCAGCTGCCTCTTGCACACCCCCTACCAGGGATGTGCCCGCAACCAATGTACATGCCCTTTACCGGAATCGAACCTGGGACCTTTCAGTCCGCAGACCGACGCTCTATCGCTGAGCCAAACCGGTTTTGGCTCATTCACAATTTTTTTACTAGTAGATTATTTAAAAGCCAAGTTCTAAAATAAGACTAGGGTTATGTCCTAGCTTAACCACTTATGGACAAGTTAATTAACCTCTTTGAATTTTAGTTTTCCTATTTTTAAATGGTTTTAATAATAGTGACTACCTCATAAAGGTATGGTCAGTATTATGTGAATGCAAGTTTGTACAGCTCATGGTATGGTACTTTGTACCTACCACCTGCTTAGTAAACCATAGCTTAATATTTTGATGATACAGATGACTTTAAGTCCATATCATGAACTCTGTTTTCTTCTGAACTTCAGCCTTGTATATCTAATTGCCTATTAAGCATTTTATATCTTTCTACATTACCTTAAACACAAGTCCAAAACCAAACCTCACATTCCACATTGAGATGATCTTTTTTTGTTGTACATTTGTGACTTAAGTGTAGGTATAAAGAACCAAAATTTCAGTTGTCAAATACTTAGAAATATATATTTTAAAAATATATTTTATTGATTTTGTACAGAGAGGAAGGGAGAGAGATAGAGAATTAGAAACATTGATGAGAGAGAGTCATCGACCAGCTGCCTCCTGCACACCCCCTACTGGGGATATGCCCGCAACCAAGGTACATGCCCTTGAACAGAATCGAACCTGGGACCTTTCAGTTCCCAAGCTGATGCTCTATCCATTGATCCAAACCGGATTCGGCAAATACTTATAAATATCTTAATAAATATCTCAAAAGTAGAAGTTGCAAATTATGTTATGAGAATTCTAAACAGAAGAGTTGCTGCTTCATGCCACAATGCCACAGTAACTTTTTTTTTTTTTTTTTAATATATTTTATTGATTTTTTTACAGAGAGGAAGAGAGAGGGAGAGTTAGAAACGTTGATGAGAGAGAAACATCAACCAGCCGCCTCCTGCACACCCCCTACTGGGGATGTGCCCGCAACCCAGGCACATGCCCTTGACCGGAATCGAACCCGGGACCCTTCAGTCCACAGACCGACACTCCACCACTGAGCCAAACCGGTTTCAGCGCCACAGTAACTTTTTTTAACTTGCAAAACTATTTCATTTGACATGGGGGACCTTACTAAATACATGTCCAAAAGAACTCTATGAATGCCCAGCAGGAACTCAGAAACACAGTAAATAAAAGACATTTATATCTTTTTTCTTTTTTTTTTTTTTTCTGATCACTCTGCTCTTTAGACTCTCACACAGAATCCCAAGAGGGCAGCTGTTTATATTTTCCAAGCCCAATGCCCTTTTAAAAACATTGACTATTTGTTATATGTCGATACTTGGACACAAAATTGGCACTCAATGAGTAGCTTTTAAGTAAGTGAATCAAAAGAAATACAAGATACAAGCTACATGGTCCCTGCAAGACACAAGCTACATGATCCCTGCAACCAGGTAGGGATGATGATACCTGAAACCAAGTAAAAATTCTATAAATTCCATTATATAGTGACATATCAGGATAAGAGGAACAAATAAATTTTGTAGACATTCAGTAAGTGAAGAGAAAGGCTTTTGGAGATGAGAGGCTTGAGCTAAGACCTTGTATGTGTGCTACTAGAAGCTTTCTGGGTTGAAAACATGAAAAAAAAAAATGCCCCTTTCGCCGAGACCAGTTTAGCTCAATGGATAGAGCGTCGGCTTGGGGACTGAAGGGACCCGGGTTCGATTCCGGTCAAGGGCATGTACCTTGGTTGCGGGCATATCCCCAGTAGGGGGTGTGCAAGAGGCAACTGATCGATGACTCTCTCTCATCGATGTTTCTAACTCTCTATCTCTCTCCCCTCCTCTCTGTACAAAATCAATAAAATATATTTAAAAAAAAAAAAAAAAATGCCCCTTTGATACTATAATAGTTCTGGCCCTTCAGAAGCAGACTGCCTCTTACTTTCACTTTAAAAGAGTTTAGATCCTAGCAGTCCATTATGCAAGCCAGGGAAAGACCATTTTATGTGAAGATGCACTTTTATTGCACTTTCCTCACTATATATTATAATTATTTGTTTATACTTGTCTCTGCAGTTAAAAGTATAAGGTCCTTGAGAGAATGGGCCTTATTGGCTTGAGCCCTTTATCCCTGACATACTTTGGATAGAGAGGGCATCCCATAAATGTTTGTTTAATAAATATGAATGTAAGCTCCTAATGGGAGAGAATGTGTCAGATTATTCTTTGTTTGAATTGAAATGAATTGTTTCTTAAGGGTTATCATAAGAATATTTACTCAGTCTTTACTGATTCTATTGCTGTGGTTCATGTCACATACAACAGATGCTTAAATATCCACTTTTCTTTAGGTTATTATACTTTAGTTACCTCAATTTTGATCAGGTTTAATACAAGATTCATCTAGAGGCAACTGGTGAGGAGTGCTAATGATAATTTCTGTGAAATTATCCCATGCACAAATTCCGTTGTTTGAGTAATGTTTAAGTGAATACCTTTGCTCCCAAAAGTCATAAACTTGTTCCTTGACATACTTCTTTATAGAGCACCAATAGGAGTTCCATATAGAGGATCTTTGCCACTTTCAAACTCCAGGCCTTCCTAGTGTTTCTAAGAATTTACTTTTTCTATTAACCATAAGTTAAGAGAAAAAGTGGCTGGTATGGTCTCTGGGGACAAATTGCCACATCCCATTTCCTTCTCTATGAGCAGGATTTCCAATTTTCAAGCCTGATGGGATATCTCACCTGGAACAAGATCTACAGGTCTTTGATTTGGAAACTAAGAATAGAGGAGTCTTAAGAGATGACTACTCAGGTGAGTAAGGCAGAATCAATCAGATGGAATTAGCCCTGTTGTTGAGCCAAGTTGTAGCTGCTTTGGCAATCAGAATGGAGAGCTCCTCTGTATCCCAGAATGGATAATTCTTTCCTTTTCTCTTCAGTTTTTTTTTTTTTTTTTAAATTAATTTTTAGAGAAAAAGGAGACAGCAAAATATCCATGTCAGAGCAAAACATTGATCAGCTGTCTCATGCACACCCCCTACTGGGGATCAAGCCAGCAACTTGGGCATGTACCCTGACTGGTGAATGGAACTGGCAACTTTTTGGTGTATGGGATGCCAAACCAACTTAGCCACACTGGCCAGGGCTTCCCTTCAGTTTTGATGAACTCTTTGCATTTATTTTGTCCCTTATCATCCATAAGTTGTAGTAGGTCCCTATTCAAGTTGCTTGTCTATAATTTGTTTGAACTATTTCTCTATTTTCTCCTTTGAAATACCTTAATTGATTTTCTTACTCTGCTGAAAGTACCTTCTGTTTCTACCACATTCTGAACCATTTAGAACCTACCATACTTCTATTTATGCCCTTATATCTGCTGTTGAAATTTTGTGCATATGTTTCAGAGTAAATAAACTTCTCTAATCCAGATAGATACTATATTAGCTTTTTCCTCTCTGAGTTTTCTTTTTCTAAGTATAGGGTACAGATTACATTTGAATTTTCTATTTATATATTGCATCAGATGGAGGAACCAGAGAAGAGAACAAGCTGTTGATTCCTAAGCAGAAAATTTCAGAAGTACATTCATGCAAAATGAGAGTAGGAAGACTCAAAAAGGATGCCGGCCAAGTTCCTGACACTAGAGAAGTGTATAAATCTGAGGACAGATTAGAAAGGCTTCAGGAAATACTAAGGAAATTTTTATTCCTGGAGAGAGAGTTTAGGCAAATAACAATCAGCAAGAAAACTTTCACCAGTGAGAACAATGAATGTAATGAACCTGAAAAAAACTTCAGTCTGGAATCTACTCTTGATACAGACCAGAGAGATCTTAGAATACAGAACATTGATGATATTGATAGGTATGACATTAGCCTCAACCAGAATTCAGCTGCTGAGAAACGTGAACAAGTAAATCTAACACAGGATTTCCAAAGTAATGAATATAAAGAAAGTTTAATGGATCTTTCCCACCTTAATAAATGTGAGAGCATTTTCACCACTGAGAAATCCTATAAATGTGATGCATGTGAGAAAGTCTTCCATCAGAGCTCAGCTCTTTCTAGACATCAGAGAATTCATACTAAAGAGAAACCCTACAAATGTAAAGAATGTGAAAAATCTTTCAGTCAGAGCTCAAGTCTTAGTCGACATAAAAGAATACATACTAGAGAAAAATCCTATAAATGTGAAGTGTCTGAGAAGTCCTGTGAATTACCTGATAAATCCTCTACTCAGAGCTCAGGCATAATGAAGCATAAGAGGATTCACACTAAAGCAAAATCTTATAAATGTAGCAATTGTGAAAGAGTATTCAGTCGTAGTGTACACCTTACACAGCATCAGAGAATTCACAAAGAGATGCCCTGTAAGTGTAATGTATGTGGCAGTGACTTCTACCATGCCTCATTCCTAGTCGAACATCAGAAGGTTCACTGTGAAGAGAAAGCCTATGAATATGAATGTGGGATGACCTTTACTAAACATCAAGGAGCTAGTCTCAGAGAAAAGCCCTATACATGCACTGAATGTGGAAAAGACTTCAGATTGAATTCCCATCTTATTCAGCATCAAAGAATTCATACAGGAGAGAAACCACATGAATGTAATGAATGTGGGAAAGCTTTCAGTCAAACCTCATGCCTTATTCAGCATCACAAAATTCACAGGAAAGAGAAATCCTCTGAGTATAATGATTATGAGGAAAGTTTTAATCATAGCTCAGATCTTGTAGGACTGCAGCAAGAAGTCCTCACCAGAGAAGAAGCCTTTGATTGTGATGCATGGGAAAATAACCTCATTCAAAGAGCACAACTTGTTCAACATCAAAGAATTCATACCAAAGAGAAACCTTATGAATGTAATGAACATGGGAAGACATTTAGTCAAGTTCAGGCCTCATTCAATATCTGAGAGTTCACACCAGGAAAAATTGTGAGTACTGAATGTGATAAAATCTTCAGTCAGCTCAACCTTTTCATCATTGGAGAATCCACCCCAGAGAGAAATCCTCTGAATGTGATGAATGGAGGAAAGCTATTAGTTTTAAACTTTTAATTGATGCCTGCAAACCCATACCAGAGAAAACCTACAAATATATTGAATGTGGTAAATGCTTCATGTTATGTTCATAACTTAGTCATCATTGGAGAATTCATACAGGAATAAAAGCCCATCACTGTAAAGAATGTGAAAAAGCCTCAGTCAAAGAAAATAACCTTTTCAGCATCAAATTCATTCCATGCAGAAAGCCTATGAATGTAATAAATGTGTGTGTGTGTGAAGATTCAGTCATATTTCAGTCTTCATTCAACATCAAAGAATCCATACCCAAGAGAAGCCATTGAGTATAGGAGTTCAAGTCTTTTTTCATCATCAGAATATCTACACCAGATCAGAATCTGATATAACTCAAGTGGAAAAAATTTACTGCCTTATTTCAGGCTTTACTCAATATCAAAATATTGGAGGGACAATTGTTGATTATTTGTATATGAAATCATTAATATATAGTCCCGATCTTTTTGATTGCAGAAGAGTCTAGCCTGAGGAGTGACATGGTAAATGCAGTGCTGTTTTCTCATGGCATTCTTTAATATAATAGGTGTTGTAAAGTTAACTATGTATACTTTATTTATGGAATTCATTTAAGCTATTTTTATTTTAATATGGCCTATAAACATTTTTCTTGAAATTGGTATGTATTGTTCTCAGTTTCCCTAAGATACTGTAATTACACCAATGTTAAAACGTATCAGCATTTGGAAAGTAGCTCATTTAGTTCTCCACCCAAGTTCTCTCCAAAACAGACTATTAGGCCTGCTTTTTTTCTGGGGACCCTAATTCCTATTTGTTTCTAGCCACAACAATTGGATTCCTGTTGATTTCTCCACTCTCTTAAGCGCCTTCAAATGATGATTTCCTAGTTTTAAGCTTTTCACCAGCAGGTATTCCATCCCTACTTGATGTCACTGTTCTGGTGTCTTTTTTCCCCCAAAGTAAAGCATCCACCTTTAAAAAAATTGGATTTCTACATCCGGTTTACCCATGAGTATGAACGATTCTGTCTCCCTTGAATTTATGACAGACAGCTAAACATTTTCAAGTGATGCCCAAATTCTTAGCTGCCTTGTTTTGCATCCACAGCCTACTAACAGAGATAAGAACTCCTAGTGGTGTTAAAGCTACATTCATTCAGCATCTACTCTGCATGTTTAAGTTTAGAAATATTTTATATACTTCCATTGAAGGCCAGCAAAATGCTCGGGCCTGCTTTTGATAGGGCAAAACATAAAGAACATATACTAAAAGATCAGAGAGCTTCATAAGGTAGAGAGCTCAGCCTTCCAACAAAGATATTGCTGTTCTTATGTAATATCTCTAGGGAGAATATTTTAAGAGAGTTGGTAATTTTGTTCCTGGTAAAATTTTAACCAATTAGATTGTTTTCTTATCTATTTGGATTTCTACCCTCAATATCCCCTCATCATTCTAGCACAATATTTGAAGTGTGAGGGCATTGTGTATACTTATTCATTATCACATTTTTATTTTTATTTTACTAGGTCATATAAAAGAACATGATTTTCTTGATTGATAAAAGTGATCACAGATGTTGGGTCCAGAGTTCAGGGTCACCATCATAACACCTAACAACAGTTTATGATTCTTTAGATGATGTCAAAGCATTTTATTATATTTTTCCATCTTAAGTTTCATAATATTTTATAAATAAGACAAGTGTTATTTAAAATTCTAGTTGTCATTCCAGCAGTTGAGACCTTCATAGTTCAGATGTTATAATATTCATGAGGGATCCTCAACAAATATATAAAAATGTATTGCTTGTCCTATAAGCATTTTATGGCTAACCTCTAGGATAGTTCTACCAGCATATTTTACCTCTTAGCCATCAGCAAGCATATGATCTAATCAGGGCAAGGTAGGAATCTAAATGTAAAATCAAATGAAAATGCATGTTTTTTTCCTGTCAAGGAATGTGTATACTCATGTATAGAAACTAATAGTCACTTCTGGGGATTAAGAAACAGAGGATGAGGTAATCCTTAAATACCAGAATGTATAAACATGCCATGTATGCATTTGGTTTAGGAATGTGCTTTTTTACTTCCACTTGAATAAAAGTGTATTTGATATTCTGCAAATCTCTTTCAAATAAAATCTGAAGGCCTTAGCTGGAAGCATTGGGAAATTTTGGAATCACCTTTCTGGCTGCAACTCAGTTCCTTACACATACTTGCTTCATAACAAGAGTAGATCGTTCTCCTGTATACTGATACTTACTCTTCCACAGAACTCTTGAGGAATAAAGTCTGAATATTTAGGAATTAAAGGATTATTCAATTGGGATGGTATCAGTACATAAAGTATGAGTAAATCATTTGAGGTTTCAGTTAAAATACGGAGAGTGAATGTGAGAGAGAGAGAGAGAGAGAGAGAGAGTGTGTGTGTGTGTGTGTTTAAATAAAACACATTTTTAAAAATTAGAATAAAGGAACTTGCCAGTTTAAGCTACCAATAGAATATGAGTTTGTGTTCTTAATTGTTTTAGTCTTGATGCTGGAGAGCTAAGAGAAGAAACCTATTAGTTGAGGGACACCTAATTTTATCTACTATCTGCCCACCCACCTACATGTGCATATTCAAACTTAATCCTCACAAATCTGCAATGGAACAAGCTTCATTTTACAGAACTGAGGTACAGTGAGGTTAAAGAACTTGTTAGGATCACATAAGTTCAAATTCAGGTGTGTTTGACTCCAAAACTTTCTATCATCATGCAGTTTGTATTAGACACCAACCAGGGACATTTTCTTTGATTGTTCTTCATTCCCTGTTGTACCCCAGTGATTCACTATATTAGTTTGCAACTCATCCTAAATGCTCTCAAAGCTCTCTGGGATACTAGGAGAAAATATCCCAATATCTTTTAGGTTGCTAATCAGAGACCCTTCCATGAATAGGCTTAGACAATTTTGACAGTGACAGGTCACAGATCAAAGCTCTCTAGTTCCTGTCTCCTGCTCAGTCTCCTCCATTCCCATCACTAGATTTACATTTCCATTTTCAATGCCCAAATGTGCTCTTAATTTTTGTTACTAATTAGAACTTGCTGATGGACATTTATTCTTACCAAGATTTACTGTCACCTCTGGTTATGTTATGTGGAACAAAGCAGTTATTGGGAAAATCAAGTTTGATTACTAGGTTCTAGCTTGAGCAAAAGAGTATCCAAATAGAGGTAGACTAGAGAGATATGTGGTACACTGGAAGAAGTGCAAGGAGAGTATTTCAGGCAAGAAAGATGATGTCAGAAGGCCTACAAATGAGTGTATGGCATTTTCAGGGTAATATATGAGCTTTCTGGAGAAATGCCTCATGCTAGGAAATAGTATGAGGGTTACTGATGAAGAACGAAAACTCATAGGGTGTCATCTCAGCAGAGCATAATGGGATTACCACAACTAGAAATGTAATTACCTGTCCATTCAATAATGCATTTGCCAGACATTGATATTCAGTGTTCAGTTAAACTAATAAAACGAATGAAACTATCTACTGAGTAAAAAGAAACAGATTAGTTGTCTAAGCAATAGCTTTGGAATTAGACATACCTGTGTTTGAATTTTGCTGTTTACTAGCTGTGTGACTTAGGAAATTTTACTTAGTCTCTCTAGTTTTCTTGTCTATACACTGTGTTAATAGCATGGAAATTAAAGAGATAATGTAAAAGGTACTGGTCATATAGTAAGTGCCAAATAGTTACTAATATAAATACTATTATAAAAACCAGTAAAAATAGAAGACAGATGTTTATATAGAAGATAGAGGGAATTAATGAGCAAGCATTTAACAGTGTAGGACTGGCATTGTCCAGAATGGGATACCCTGGGCTTGGAGAACTTAAATGACTAGAGAAAACATCAGGCATCCTTGTCTGTGGTAGGAACTGCCTCTTGACAGGCATTCCCTGTTGGGAGCCGGCAAACTGACATATGTCTCATCTAAAATTTATATCATATGAGTTCACATTTTCAAAATACAAGTGCATAAAGGAACTATTGTTTAATACAAGACTATACGAATGATTTCACTCAGAAATCAGATGGTGCCCTGTATAAGTCATCAAGAAAATAATGCTGGAATTTTTTTATTTTGTTGATGCATCCTATTCACTCCACTTACAGAAAATGGTTAACCTCTTGTGTTTGTATTTCATTCATGTTTATAAATTTACAACTTGGACATAATTACATGTGTCTTGTCTTTTTTTCCTTTTCTGCAGTTGCTCATATTACAAATCTTCACCCAGTATTTCTTCATTGTCCTTCCTAGATGCAGTTAGACATCAGGCTCTGGTTTGAGCAGACCAGGGTTCAAATGCTGCCTCCTTGCTTACTGGCATATAAGATGGTAAAAATTACTTCATTGGATTGTTGTGAGGATTAATGAGATAATATCAGTTGGTATAATATCCACAGTTGGTAGCTGTTATTTCTGAGTTTAGAGGGAATCTACCCTTATAATAACTCATTGCCTTAATTCCTTTTCCAGCTTTAACATAAGATGTGCCATGGGCATATCTGTACTGCAGCTGCAGTAGGGTCTTTGGACCTCTCTAAGGTTTTTCTTTCTCATATTGGTATTGGTATCAGCATGTTCCTCCTGTTTATTTATATGCTCCGTGCAAAACTGGTAGGGACTGGGTTGAAGGGACAAAGAGAAAGACGGACTAAGGGCCTTCATAACCTGAATTTGGGCTCAGTGGGTCATCTGATCTGTAATTTTGAAGGAGGAGGTGAGGTGGGTGGTAAAACTGCAGGAGTCAAGGGGAGGAGGCAAATAGAGTGCATACAGGGTCAGAGGGGATGAAAGAAATTTAGATCCTTGGTCCACTTAGTAATATAGTGGACAAATAAATCTGTTCCAATCTCCTACCATTCTTTCTGGGGGAAGGACAAACACCAATTTAAGGTCTCTGCCTCCACGTGGTTCTGGACCCAGATCCCAAGTGGCCTCTAAAGAACCCACAATCAAGATTAGAGCAGATTAGACTCTGAATTGCCTAGATGGGACCTGGAGTGCATGCCTGTGTTTCCTGCAGGGGATCAGAGACCCAGGAAGGAGAGAGTGGCAGCCTGTGACAAGCTTGGACTGTGGTGGTGGACTAGGGCTGTGCGGGAGGGGCGCGATGTGGGGGACTCCCGTGGAATTGGGTTGGTGCTGGCAGTCTGATGGCCATCTCAGGGGAGGACCCAGAAGACATGGAGAGAAAAATAAAGCTTCTTGGACCTTTTCCTGGAAAGGTTCACCTACCATTTTCCCTATATCTGATCCCTTCTACCCTTTCCTGAAGTGACTGCTCATCCCTTGTGTCCTGTTCTGAAGAATTTTCAGAGAATATCTTGGCCTTGGAGAGCACCAGGGATTGGACAGAGCCCTCAGGAGCCCTTGGAGAAGCTTCCTGAGCAGATGTCCGCTGAGTTGCTGTTTCCATCCCATGAACAATTGTCTAAAAAGAGCAAGAGTGAGGAGCTAACCTTACTGGCTTTCTTTGTCTAAACTTTGTCCTAACCATGGCCTCGGATTAAATGGACACGATTAACCTTACACTTAGAATTGTTCTGGTATTTATTTATCAAGACTACTGATATTTATTACCTAAAGCTCTATGGCGTGTAAACAAAGCCTATACCTAATGTTTTCTCTCCATGTGGAGCAAACCTGCAGAAGCACTGTCATAGCACTAAGTCTTGAAGAGCTATCATTCCAGCACCTGCTAACTTGCTTTGTCTTTGGAGAAGCTCAGTGAATGTTGTGTGGATAAATAAGTGAATGAACCCAGCAAAGTATGTCCCATACCCCAGGTACCAGGAAGAGAGCTCTCCTTCACCATTAGGGAAGGTACATTTTCCACTCAAGGCATAAACTGCAAGAGGGTGCCTGCCTATGGAATACAACTGACAAGCTAGCCACCTGCTGATGGAAAATGAGGGTAAACTCTAATATCCATATTTTAATTTCGATTTTCCATCTTACTGTTATCTGGTATATATGTCTGGCTATTAAAAAAGGTGGATTTGATTAATTGGAGGACAAGGCTTAGATATTGCACATCATGGACTTCAAAATGGCTTATGTTTGGGAAGATTTTCTTTCACGCATACAGTCTTTGAATGGTGTTTTTAGGCTAATGTTTCATTCAGCAATTATTTATTGAATTATTATTTATGAGATGTTGAAACTCAGTTGAAAAAAACACACCAAAACACCTAACCCTTACCCACCCCTGAGCTTAGAGTTGAGTTGGAAAATATAACTGTGAGAGGTCGTAGAACAGTAAATAAGGTAGAAGTTTACAAGAAGAGATGCCTGTGAACTAGTGTGAGCCCAGGAAGCCTTAGAAAGTCTTGAGTGTCCTTGGAAGAATTAGAGTAAGGAAGGAGTCAGGTTTTAGATGAGAGAGGATGGAACAGACCCTTAACATAGGTTCCTTGCTGCTAGTCTTTATAAGAGGTCAAGTACCCATATTCACCTCCCTAAAATAATTTATTCATATTTTGAGTCCATACTTCATAAGCTGGCAATGAATCCTCCACAGTGGCCTCAACCCAACTTAAAAGTCTCACCTCAGTCTGCCCCCAAGGCAAACCCAGCAAGAAGGGCGTGTCTGCTCTAGGTAACGCAGGAGTCCCTGCACTACCCACTGTGTGCATTTGTGTCCTTTTACTCACACGCATTACTGTTTCCTACATTTTCTGCCTATCACACCCTACATGTCTCAAGATCCCATGTGTGAAGACTCAGTGTAGGACAGCCTCTTTCATGAAGCTTCTGAAGAGACCTGGGCTATGAAGGAAACAGTCAGATGCAAGAGATATTTACATGGAAACTTGCCAGACATGGTGGCTAGTTGAGCAGTAGAGGGATGTTGGCTACAATTGCCTTTGTTCCCTTCACTGTTATACCTCTTACAAAAAAAAAAAAAACCAAAACACAACTTCACCAGTTGCTAATATCTTTGTAATTGCCATTCATGTCTCAACACTACACACTGTTTCTGTTTAATCAACACTGGTTATATCTAGCCCTGGCCGGTGTTGACCAGTGGTTAGAGCATTGGCCTGCACACCGATCAAGGGCACATACCTGGGTTATAGGTTTGATCCCTGGCCCTGGTTGGGGTGAATGTGTGAGGCACTGTTGGTGGTAAGTTGGTATGGTCATTATGAAAAATGGTATGAAGGTTCCTCAGAAAATTAGAAAAGTACCATATAATCCTGCAATTCTACTTTGGGGTATTTATCTGAAGGAAACAAAATCATTATCTTAAAAAGACATCTGCACCCCCAAATTCATTGCAGCATTATTTACAATAGCCAAGACATGGAAATGACCTAAGGTAAAGAAAATGTGGGGACGTCTGTAATACTTTGAACAATAAAGATAAATTTTGCCCAGCTCTGTGGTTGGGTGTTGACCTATGAACTAAAAGGTCATGTGTTCAATTCCTGGTCAGGGCACATGTCCCGGTTGCAGACTCAATCCCTAGTGTGGGATTTGCAGGAGGCAGCCAATCAATTGTTCTCTTTTGTCATTGATGTTTCTATCTCTCTCTGCCTCTCCCTTCCTCTTGGAAATCAATAAAAATATTTAAAAAAAATAAAAAATTTAAAACGTGGTATACATATACAATAAATTATCACTCAGCTATAAAAAAAAATCCTGCTACTTGAGGGCTAAGTGAAATAAGTCAGACAGAGAAAGACAAATAATGTATGATCTCACTTATATATGGAATCTAAAAAATCCAAACTCACAGATACAAGAACAGATTGGTGGTTGCCAGAGTAAGGGTGGTGGTTGTGGGAATTGACATAAAGGTACAAACTTCCAGGTATAAGGTAAATAAATCCTGGGGATTTAGTGTGCAACATGGTGATTACAGTTAACAATACCATATTGTATATTTGAAAATTGCTAAGAGAGTAGATCTTAGAAGTTCTCATCACAAGAAAAAAAATTGTAGCTCTTCCCCCTCCAGTATCCAGATTGCATGCAGAGAGGAAGAGGGGGAATCTAGAGGTGGAGAATAAATGTAAATGTGGTTCTGTGATGGTATCACAAATCATTGTTAAATTCCTTAAAATCAGTGACTATTACCTAATAAAGTCAGAGCTGCATAAGTTTTAGGCTTTCACTGCTGATGGAAATGCTGCATTGGAAATCCCTAAGCACCATCTTCTTCCACCTCTAAGTCGCACCTTACTTACCATGAATATTTTAATCATTAAAAGAAGTTCCAAAAGTACCTCTTCTGAGGTAGTAGGGTATTCGGTCTATTCTGGGTATCTGAGAGGAATAAATCTGCCCAGAGACCAAGCTTACCTGCGCGGGCCTGGGCCAACGGAAGCCTGGACCTCGAGCTGAAGGGGCAGAGGAGCGGAAGCGAGGGCGGGGCGCGGGCTGGTCCCACTGCCCTGGGGCCGCCTGGAGGGAAGCCCAGCCCTGAGACTGGGAGACCGGGAGACCCCATGGTGGCCCAGAGAGGAAGAGGAACCGGTGGAGGGTGAGCGGGGGTAGCTTCACGGGTGGGAAGGGGCAGACACGAAGAAGACACCCTCTGCTCCCCAGGCCTAAACATAACCCATTGAGCTGTTGAGACCCACGGGGTGGTGTCTGGGGGTGGATGTCCCGGTTGGGACCCATTTTGGGGACTTTCGGGTCACGGAAGGTCTGGGCAGAGGAAGGTTGACAGTAGGAGGAATGGCCTTCCTCCCCAAGGTCCAGACGGTTCCCGCCTGGTCTCTTCCCTGTTCCAGCTGGGGTTTCCTTTATGCGCCCACCTCTGTACTCTCAGCACAGTTTCCAGGTGTCTCTGGGGCTGCACTCGGGCTGTTTCAGGGCGTCTCAGGGAGCCTCCCAGAGGTAGCCCGGATTGAGGATCCTGTCTTCAGGCCGGTGGTTCTCAGATGCTGTTCCTGGCCTCACATAAGAGTATGCGGTTCTTCTGCTTCCAGTGTCTGAAGTCCTTGTATTTATTTTTAAAATATATTTTTATTGATTTCTAAGAAGAAGGGAGAGGGAGAGAGAAATAGAAACATCAATGATGAGAATCATTGATTGGCTGCCTCCTGCACGCCCTCTACCGGGCATTGAACCCATAACCAGGGCATGCGCTCTTGACTGCAATGGAACCTGGGACCCTTCAGTCTGCAGGCTGATGCTCTATCCACTGAACCAATCAGGCTAGGACCTGAGGTCCTTTTAAAATAATTAAAACAGTCAATGACAACCAAAGGACTGTGTGCATGCATATAAGCCTAACCAGAGGTCATGGACAACAGGGGGGGTGGGGGGGGTTGGACATACATGGGGAATGGTTTAGGATGGAATAGGGGAGTGAGGACAATTATGTGACACCATAATCAATAAAGAAATTAAAACAAACAAACAACAGTCAATGATAGTAGATGACAGGTTTTTTTGTATGCCCTGACAAAATAAAAAATGGCAACCCTACCTTCCGCTAGTCTCTCTCTCTCTCACACACATACACATGAACATAGCTATTAGAGAAAATCTCGGGTTCCATTGAATTTCACATTTGTAAATCACTGAGCAGAGCTGCTGGCCAGTGGGCTGGTGAGGGGGGAGAGACAGCTCCGTGGTTTTCTGGTCCCTGGTCCTCACTGACTAACTGGGATCCTGGACCAGTGGAGCCTGCCCTCCGAGGACCCAGTCTTCAGTAGTCATCATGCACAGCTCGAATCCTTGGGGCTGCCAAGCACCGCCTGGCTTATACAGGAGGCTCTAGTCCTGGCTGTGGGCATGACTTGGAAAGAAGAGCTGTTCTGTTGGCTTAGGGTGCCCCTCATCTTCCTTGTCAAGTGTCTCTCTCACCTCCTGATGCCTCTCTTCTGCACCACCACGTGGGCAGGGTCGTCACATGCTATCTGGGTACATTCTGACCAGGCCTGCCCTTCCTGCAGCACCACAAGCTCCTTCTCCTCTCCTCTCCTTCCTCCACTTGTTCCTCTCCACCTCGGGGAAAACTCGTTCCTCGGGCTGCCGGGCTTGGCAAAGGCAGAGAAGAAAGCAGACTAGTTGAATACATTTCCCTTAGACTGTGAATAGCCACTAGCCCCCTTTTCAACAGGAATGTTTGAGTTTTAGGGAGAAGTATAGAGAGTTAGAAACATCGATCCGCTGCCTCCTGCACAACCCCTACTGGGGATGTGCCCACAACCAAGGTACAGGACCTCGACTGGAATCGAACCTGGAACCTTTCAGTCCACAGGCTGATGCTCTATCCACTAAGCCAAACCAGTTAGGGCCCAGCCAATTCTTATCTTCTACATCTCAGGTGCTCATTCTAAAAAAGGCATCTTTTTAAAAAATTCTATTTTTTTTATTTTATTGATTTCAGAGAGACAGGGAGAGGTAGAAACATTAATGATGAGAGAGAATCATTGATCATCTGCCTCCTGCACATCCCACCCTGGGGATCGAGCCTGAAACCCTGGCATGTACCCAGACTGGGCATCTAACCACAACTTCCTGGTTCATAGGGCGACACTCAACCATTGAGCAACACCAGCAGGTCAAAAGAGGCATCTTTAATGACAGGTGGTGGTTAAGGAGATTTGAGGGTCTTAACTAAGGGCCTAACCTCCAGGCCTAGAGGATACCTGGGGCTTCAGGAAGGTCTCTGAGACTTTAAAACTATTGGCAAAGCTTGCTCTGTGCATATGATCCGCTCATTTTTCCAGCAGACGGCCCCTCCTGGCCAGGTGGACCATCGAAACCCAGGGTCCTGCAGCAAAAGGGCCAGTCACTGAGTAAGGGCACTTCAGACCTGCTCTTACCTCCCCCTGGTCCTCATCCTGAAACCTCAGAAGGCAAATAGCTGACTGGAGAGGGCAATGAGAGGTTCTTCTGTGGGTAATAATAATTGAATGGTTAGAACGTTAGAGCCAGGAGAGTTTGGGACAGCGTGGTCCAACCTCCTCATTTTACAGAGGTGGGAAAGGGCACCCTACATGCCTAAGATCATCCAGCGAGTCAGGAGCAGAAAATGTCTGTTATTTTAGGTCCACTGAAGAGGTCTGTGAGACTGTTACGCTTATTGAGGCAGAGGAGTCAGCCTTTACTGAGCCTCACCTGTGTGCTAGCATTTCCTTAGATTAGGGGTGTCGAACTCAATCAGAGAAGGGGCCAAAATCTAAAATCCAGCCTAAATTGCGGGCCGAATGGTTTACTGAACAGTCATAAACTGTCATTGTGATGGAAACGCAGCGGAGTGCAGTGATGACAGCACGGTGCGGGCCACATTGCAAGGCCTGGCGGGACGGATTTGGCCCGAGGGCCTTGTGTTTGACACATGTGCCTTAGATGCTATCTCCTTGTACCACATGAGTGTTGGGAGTATGTGCCCCAGCTCTTGCCCTCGCTTTTCCCTTACACAGATGATACTGACTTCAGAGAGCAAGGATATAAGGAGCTTAACATGGGCCATAGCCTGCACCTTGACTGTCCTGGGCTACCTGCTCATCCTGCTGGTCACCATCTTCCCCTTCTGGGTGCGCCTTGTGAACGAAGAGTCCCGCGAAGTGTTTAACAGTGGCCTGTTTGAGAACTGCTTCCACACCAAGTGCTTGAAGCCTCGACCCTTACCCAGTAAGGAGGGACCGAGGCGGGGACTGGGGAGAGATGGGGCCGTTGCAGGAACTGGGGGTGGCAGAGGACAGGCTTTCATAAGCCAAGAGGGGATTTTTCTCTTGAGTCTCCGCTCCTTTGGGGTTCAAGCAAAGTAGGTGGTTGGGAGGGGGTTAATAGTGCCAGGCTGACACCAGAGTCAGGAACCAATGTGTTAGCAACCGAGTTTATTTCTGGGGAAAAGAGTGGCCCATGTGATGGGGGGGGGGGGGGGACGCGGAATCCTGCCCTACTCCCTGAGGCTCCCCACCTCTCAGGGCTGCCATTATCCCTGCCAGCCAGCACCCTGCAGCCACCACTCCTACTAGGGGAGCAGCCTGGTGGGCAGAGCCTCCACTCGTCCCCTTGGCCACACACCTGTCCATCTCTGGCTGGCAGCTCTGTAGATACTGTGCTCAGGCCCGGGCACCACATTATCCAAGAGGCACTGGAGACCATGTTTTTATAAGGAACTTGGAAAGTTCATGATGGTGTCTGCCTTGGAAAAGAGGTGACTCTGGGAGACCTAGGAATTATCTCCTGATGATAGGAAAGAAGAGCCACTTTGGGGAAGAAGGGGCAGACTGTGTGAGCTCTTTGGTCCAGGGTTCCTCCACCTTGGCACTACTGACATTTTTGGTTGGGTAATCTTTACACTTGATCTTAGCCAAAAGGCCGAGAAGCGATGGTTGGGTAATCTTTGATGTGGAGGGCTCCCCTGTTTCTTATGGGTTAATAACACCTCTGCCCTCTTCTACCCACTAATACCAGTAGAACCCTCCCAGCATTAGTTGTGACACTTATCTCCCACGAGGGGGGGAGTGGGGGTGGTGGTGGATTGTCTCTGGTTTAGAAGCACTGTTTTAACTCTGGGTCTTCAACAAGACCTTTGTCTCTTTGTTCTACCCACAGCCGTCCATTTCTGCATGCTCAGGAATATAAACAAACTCATTTTAACATGGGTCTGAGTCATGCCAACAGTAGGAGAATAAGACACCCTGTCCTTAAGATTCTGGTTCTGCTATTTCGGGTCTGTTTCATTACTTCTATTAACTGGGATGATTATAGGGGTTTCCTGCAGAGTTCAGAACATTTTTTAAAAATATATATTTTATTGATTTTTTTACAGAGAGGAAGGGAGAGGGATATCAATGAGAGAGAAACATCGTTCAGCTGCCTCCTGCACACTCCCCACTGGCTATGTGCCCACAATCAAGGTACATGCCCTTGCCTGGAATCGAACCTGGGACACTTGAGTCCGCAGGCCGATGCTCTATCCACTGAGCAAAACTGGCCAGGCCCAGAACATCTTGACTTTCCACCAGTGACTTGTACAGTGTGACCAATAGAGATGTGATTCCTCATGTTTCCTGTGTAACAAATTTTGTCACCAGGGTTTTATTTTAATATGTTTTTTTAAAATTGATTTTAGGAAGGGAGTAGGATAGAGAGATAGAAACATCAATGAGAGAGAAACATGGATCAGCTGCCTTCTGCATGCCCCTTCTGAGGATTGAGCTAGCAACCTGGGCATGTGCCATGACTGGGAATTGAACCAGTAACTTCTTGGTTCATGGGTTGATGCTCAACCACTGAGCCACCCTGGTCAGGCTATTTTATGTTTGTCCATCTAAAATTTTTTGTTTGTTTACTCCCATGTCATGGGAAACAAAATGGGGCCAGAACATTTTTGGGGCCAAAGTGGCAGGGTCAGAACCTTGGTCCCAGACCACATATTGGGGAGCTCCAGGGGCCATCCCTGCCAAGGATCTGTGGGCTTTGTGGGGTCTGCCCTTTGGGGTCAAGGTGCCCAGCACTCACCCACTCTCCCTCCCCTGCAGTTTACATCATCCTCAGCCGAGTTTTCCTGCTGTCTGCAGTTGGCTTGTCTTTCCTCACCACCCTCACCATGGCGTCTTTTGCATCTCAGCTCTTTCCAAGGACCTGGAGGCAAATTTTCATATCAGTCTCCTGCAGCTTCTTCACAGGTGTGGAGCAGGCATGCGGCCCCGGGGAGGGTCTGGGGAGGGGTCCAAGGGCAGGTGGGGGAGTTAAGGGGGAGGGCAGGTCTCTGTGATGCTAGGAAAGGATTTGAAGGCCCCTCTCTTTGGTTGGCTTTTCTATGAAGTAGCCCACCCTCAGACCTGCCCCCTCTGTACCTATGACCCCTTTTCTTTGGGGCTTTTCAGTTCTTCATACTTCCAACTAGCATAGTCCTTACCACATTGATTGGAGGTCATTTGTGTGGTGGCCTTTTACCATAATCTCTATCCCAGTGACTGTCCCAGAGTCTAGAATAGAATTCTAATATAATTGAAGTATATGACATAAATAAACTATAAATGTTTCTTAGGTGAAGGAATGGAAGAGACTATCCCTGTCCTTTGGGACCTCTGATGTTTAAAGGTTGACCAAGGCCTTCCTCTGCCATGAGATGGAGGGGGTTGGAAGGCTCATGGTGGGAGAATGAGGTTGAGTTTCATCCAAAGCATCACACGCAGAGGGCCCAGGCTGAGTCAGCTGAGGTCAGGAGCAGGGAGAGTTCTCAGGAAAAGGATTTTTGATGAGGGAACCCCTGGGAGGTGAGGCACATGGGCTTTGAGATTAGTTGGGAAAGAGGGCAAGACAGGCATGTAGGGTGGAAGTTACTGGCTCTGAGAGGGCCAGGTGTGCCAGCAGGAGAAAGGATCCTCCATGCAGGAGCCACGTGGCTCTGTCTGATTAAGTCAGAGGAAAGGCTGGAGGGAATGCAGAGAACCACAGGAGGAGGTTAAGGGTACTTCCCTGTGACCCTGCAGGGGCTTGTGCTTTCCTGGCCTTGTTGCTGCATGCCCTGGAGATCCAGAGTCTGAGGATGCAGCCCAACCCTCCCCAGGTCTCCGTGCAGTGGCCTTACTATCGATATGTCCTGGGCTTTGGTATCCTTCTGTTCATAGCGGCTGGTGAGTGTCCTGGGACTGGTGCCCCTCTCCCTGCCTTCTGTCTGGATTCAGGAGCCTTGCTCTAGAGCTGCGCTGTTCAAAACTGCAGTCACTAACTACATGTGCTATTTAACTTTAATTAGTTAAAATGTCATACTAGACACATTCCAAATATTCAATAGCCACATTATTCGGTGTCCAGTAGCTACCTTATTGGATGGTAAAAATACAGATATTTCCATTGCTGTAGAAAGTTCTACTGGATAGCACTGCTCTAGAGCTTCAACCCTACTTTCCATTCTTGTCTTTTCCCATTCTTATCCTACTCATCTTGAGAACCAGACTCTTACAAATTTTCATACTCTCCCTTATACATATATCCTGGTTCCTAAGGTTTTCTAGTCCTATCTATCTTTATCCTGAAATCTAAGATCCTATTCCTCACCATACCCCTTTTATCTTTACATACCATTGCCATCTAGGTTTATAGTTCTAATTTTGTCTCTATTATCTCTGCCTGCTATGTTAATCTGACCCATGATTATAATCTATTTTTTTATTAAGGTATTATATGTGTACATATCATTCCATTGTCCCCCGATGCCCATTCATGCCCCCCCCCCCGAGTTTTTCGTCCATTGTTTATGCTTATATGCATGCATACAAGTCCTTCAGTTGATCTCTTATCTCCCCCAGATCTCCCTATCTTCCCCGCTGTAATTTGACAGTATGTTTGTTGCTTTACTGTCTTTGTATCTTTTTGTTCATCAGTTTATAATGTTCTTTATTATCCATAAATGAATGAGGTCATGTGGTGTTTCTCTTTCATTGACTGGCTTATTTCACTCAGCATGATGTTCTCCAATTCCATCCAGGTTGCTGCAAATGAAAAGAATACCTCCTTTTTTATGGCAGCATAGTATTCCATTGTGTAGATGTACCATAGTTTTTTGATCCAATCATCTGCTGATGGGCATCTAGGCTGTTTCCAAATTCTAGCTATTGTAAATTGTGCTGCTATGAACATAGGGGTGCATATATCCTTTCTGATTGGTGTTTCTAGCTCTTGGGATATATTCCTAGGAGTGGGATTACTGGGTCGAATGGGAGTTCCATTTTCAGTTTTTTGAGGAAACTCCATACTGTTCTCCACAGTGGTTGCACCAGTCTGCATTCCCACTAGCAGAATAATCTATTTTTAAAAATATGTTTTTATTGATGAGAGAGAGAGAGAGAGAGAGAGAGAGAGAGAGAGAGAGAGAGAGAGAGAGAGAGAGAAATGGAAGGATGGAGGGAGAGGCAGAGAGAGAAAGAAGGAAAGAGAGAAACACATGTATCCATGAGAGAGAAACACATCGATTGTCTGCCTCCTGCACGCCCCCTGACTGAGAATCGAACTGGTGACATTTTGGTGCATGGGATGAAGTTCAACCTATTAAGTCTCACTGGCCAGGGCATGATTATAATCTATTTTAACTCAGTTTTATTATACATTGAATATGATTATAATCTATTTTAACTCAGTTTTATTATACATTGAATATATAATGAAGCATATTTATAATATAACTGTAAGATATAAGTAATTAAAAATAAACTGCACACTATATAGTTTAAGAACTAGCCATATTCAGTGACTCCATTTTTTATGTATACCCTTATTTTATGTATCACTGAGAAAGAAAAGTTGATGCCAAGTATAATTCTAAGATGCTTTAGCTTATAAAATACATCCTCATTATATATATATATAATATTTTCATTGATTTCAGAGAGGGAGAGGGACACTTCAGTGATGAGACAGAATCATTGATCGGCTGCCTCCTGCACACCCCCAACTGGGGATGGAGCCTGCAACCAGGGCACATGCCCTGACCAGAATTGAACGCTGACCTAATAGTTTATAGGTTGACACTCAACCACTAAGGCACACCAGTCAGGCTAGAGGATATTTTTTTCACTGTTTTTTAGGGAGAGTGGAAGGGAGAAGGAGAAACCCTGTTGTGAGTGAGACATATAGATTGGTTGCGTCCAGCATATGCCTCTACATGGGAATCAAGCTTGCAACGGAGTATGTGCCCTTGACTGAAATAGAACCTTAAGTCTGTGGGCTGACACTCTCACCACTTAGAAGAACTGACTAGAGCTGGAACTTGACATTTTCTCCCTTTTTAAATCCTCACCTGAGGATATGTTTTTATTGATTTTTAGAGAAAGAAAGAGGAAGGGAGAGAAACATCGATGCCAGAGAGAAGCATCAGTTGGCTGCCTCCCTTATGCAATCCAACTGGGTATTGAACCCATAACCTAGGTATGTGCCCTGACTGGGAATTGAATCCACAAAATTTTGGTGTAGGAATGAAGCCCCAACCAAGACGGCACTTAAAACTTTAATTCCAAAACACACACACACACACAATTTAAATTCCCCTCTAAGAAACTCCTCTGACGCCCAATGCCTTTCAAAATTATCTTTCATCTCTGGACTCCTACTTAATCTATGCACAACCTTTCTCCAGATTCTTCTTAATGCTGGAACAAGAACCCTAGCACATGTCTTACATTTAAGTTTTTTAAATAAATTTTGAGTTCATCCTTGTATATGGTGTGAGTTGGTGATCTATACAAAGATATTTTTGAAGAGATATGTTATTTAGACCTTTTGTTGTTTTTAGTGGGAGTGTATCTAGTCTGCTATAAGGTTGAGAATAGGTGTCCTTTGTTTTTGTGTTAACATTAATACAGTATTTACCCTTCATTTAAGGTATCTCCACTTATTGGTATGAACATCGATTTTCTTTTTCCTTTCTTTTATTTTATTAAAGTTCTTGAGTTGGGCATCAAGAGGCCTGGATTTTATGTTTGAGCTCCTTCTCTTAAACCTTGTTTTCTCGTTTACTAATGGTTAGGCAACTGTTATTTCCAGCACTGGCCATGGTTCTGTGAGTTTGTCCATCTGTTTGTATGCCTTGTCTTCTGGTGCATTCGGTTTCTCCTTCTGTCTCTGTAATGCTCTACATTGGAGGGGAGCTTTGGGGAGGACAGAAGGAGTTGCATTACTGGAGCGAATCTCTGACCTCTAGGGGATGAAGTATGATGCCCTCTCTAATCTGAGCCAAACTTTTGCTGTTCCCTAGGTGTCATCTGTCTCTTTCAAGAAGCCTGCCGTAGATTACGCATTTCCCAGAGTATGATGAAGACTCGAGAGAGCCCACACCTGGAGATTCTGGAGAGTTTGGGAGGACTGAGTGCATTGCAGAAGGAGATCCTGCTGAAGGAAGAGATGGTTATCTAGTCCAGGAGAGCCTGTCACTTCATCAAGTTGTGTGCGTGCCCGTGTGTGGGTGGCACTCCCTTCTCTGCCCGTCTCTGCTACTTTTAATAAGCTTCTTGTATATTAATGCTCCACTTCCCTCTACTACAGTGATTCTATTTTGCTCATATTGGACTTCTTTTTGTATTTGAAATTTTTGAATTCTTCTGAGTCTCCTGAGTGATCTCTCTCCTTTCCTTCATCCCTCCCTCTCTCCCTTCCTTCCCCCCCTGTTTTTTTTTTTTTTTTTTTTTTTTTGCAGGTGTTTCCAATTAAAGAAGGACTACTGTCTATTAATCCATACTTCAAAAACCCAGCCTGGAGGGCATGAGGGGAGGGAGTTATATTATATAATGATTAAGTGAAATGATCTTTCATAAGACAAAAAACAAAAAACAAAAAACTGAACAGAATGTAACCACTATAGGTGTTTGAGTTAGTTATATTAAAAAGAAAAAGTGATTTCACCATACAAAAATGTGACTTGGTACAGAAAACCTTTTCTTCCTTTTAAAAAAATTCTGTTCATACCCACTCTGAGAGGGAATGGCTACAAATAGGACAGGGGAGAAACATGGGGCATGTGTGTCAGGGAGACAGAGAAGGCATGGAATGTGTATGGGAGTCCATAAAGGGAACGTTTTAAGAAGCACCACTTGCCACAGAGAGGAGACCACCTTGGAAGGCAAATGACATCATCCTTTGATAGCAGTGACCGATGAAGAACAGAAGGAAGAAAATGAATGGTCGTACACGTTGCCGCCCCTTTGAACTGTTAGGATGTAAGAACCAGAGGAGTTCTGGCCACATGGGAACTATTGTACATATTAAAGAAAGTACCCCTCAAGGTAACAATGGGAGAAAAAAACACCTTCATACTGAGAAACTGGGAGCGTTCTGCTGCTACCTGACTCTCTCTCCTCAGTGTCCACCTGCAAATAGCTGGTCCAGAAAAATCAAACCCATTCAAATAAAAGAGTAAAAACAGCAGTATTGATACAAAAGCATTATAGGAAAAAGCAGAGAGAGAAGCAAGTCTGGCTATGAAGAAAACTAATCAAAAAGTGTTATTACAGTCGGTTTGGCTCAGTGGAAGAGCGTTGGCCTGCGGACTGAAGGGTCCCGGGTTCGATTCCGGTCAGGGGCATGTACATTGGTTGTGGGCACATCCTCATTGGGGGGGTGTGCAGGAGGCAGCTGGTCGATGTTTCTCTCTCATCGACGTTTCTAACTCTCTATCCCTCTCAATTCCTCTCTGTGTAAAATCAATAAAATACATTAAAAAAAAAAGTGTTATTACAAAATAGAGGAAAATTCGATCCAGCACGCGTTGATTCCCTGGGCTGGTGCCCGGTGCCCGGTGAGTGTCTGGAGAGCCCTCCCCGCAGAGGGCGCCAGGTGAAAAGCCATGGAGGCGAAGAGGGGCCTGGCGACCGAGAGCCCGCAGGAAACCAGCCCGGGAAAGCGCCCCAGAGCGGTCCCCGGGGGATGAGCGACCATCGAGTCGCCCCGACCTCCGAGCGTCCTAGAGCGGAAACGGAAGAGACCCTCCCCTTACGCACCTGTCTGACAGCGTTCGCTTACTTCCGGTCCTCGGAGGGCACTGGGGAGCTCGGCGCGGTTGCGGGGCTTTGGGTGAGAGGCGGGTTGGGGCCACGAGGCCCGTTGGAGATCGGGGGCCGGGGCGGTGCTGTGGTGCGGGCCGGGGGCGGCGGCGGCGGCGGCGGCGGGGCTGGCGTTGCGGGGGGCGGGTCTCCTCGGGGCTGCGTACCGTGCACCCGGGCCTGGCGGGCCGGGCCTCGGGCGGTGCGGGTGGAGGGCCGCCCGCGGTTGGCTCAGGTAGGAGGAGGGATGCCGATCCCGCCCGCCGGGGTCGTCGTCTGCGTCCTGGAGACACTGCACCAGAGCAGAACTCTCTGAGACGTGAAAGCAGTGATTGTAGGGCAACGCGTAGAATAGCGAATAGTTACGGGGCGCCTTCTGTTTGTCAGGTGTCAGGAAGAAAAGGTGAGTGAGGACTTTGCTTGCCTTCTGGGAATCTGGTCGACAGAGACACGTGGGTAAACAATTTGCGCTATCGTGGGATGAACGCCATAGCTAGAAAGTCATGAAAGAGCAAGCTCAATAGATGCAGGAGAGAAAATGAATGGATTGAAAGTGTAAAATAGGTTTAAGAAGAGTCAGGAAATACATAGACACCAAATGGGGTATATATTCATTTATTTTTAATTTTTTTTATTGATTTTTCCACAGAGAGAAGGGGAGAGGGATAGAGAGCTAGAAACATTGATGAGAGAGAATCATTGATCAGCTGCCTCCTGCACATCCCCTACTGGGGATGTGCCCGCAACCAATGTATATGCCCGCAGACCAACGCTCTATTCCCACTGAGCCAAGTCGGTTTTGGCCCTAATGGGGTATTTAAGCAGAAGCTTCGGATTTGCCTCCTACCAGTGGCTCATTCTTTGCTCCGAGTGATGTTCCCTCCCTCTAATATTGTAGCTTAGCCCCTTACCTACTTTGGAGTTCTAGGTCCATTTCCCCAGCCTAAGTCACCGCCTTTGCCCCACAGTGGAATTAAACAGTACCCATTCTCGCCGAAACCGGTTTGGCTCAATGGATAGAGCGTTGGCTTGGGGACTGAAAGGTCCCGGGTTCGATTCCGGTCAAGGGCATGTACCTTGGTTGCGGGCATATCCCCAGTAGGGGGTGTGCAAGAGGCAGCTGATTGATGACTCTCTCTCTCATCGATGTTTCTAACTCTCTATCTCTCCCTTCCTCTTTGTACAAAAATCAATAAAATATATTAAAAAATAAATAAATAAACAGTACTCATTCTCCAATGTAGTACAAGCCTCTTTTTTTCCCCTCATGAGTACTTGATCCTACATTTACCTTTATCTTTTTGGCTTTCCATGTTTCTCATCTAAACCATGTATTTTGGGAAGCTGACCTTGGCCAGCCATCTCATCTCTTACATCTTCAGTTTTTGCATCTTGAAAAGTAGGGGAAGTAGTACTCATTATACACAATTGTTGTAAGTATTAAATGAGGATATGTGTTCACATGCTTTCTAAATGGTAATGCCTACACAAATTAGCACTCTTTCAATTATGATAATGGTATATATGTTGCTCTGTTGTCTTTAGGTTGAGCAAACACTCAAGCTACCAACCAGTAAATCTATTGGGTTTACCTCCAAAATATGTCTTGACTTTGTCTGCTTCTTTGCCGCCATCCTGATTGAAGTCCTGTCATCTGCTTGGACCACAGTAAGTGCTGCTGCCCTCCTTTCCTCTCTGTTCTCAATACATTGCAGGCAAAATGACCTTTGTCGAACATGTAGCTCCCTACTAAAACAAGAAATAGGAGTAAAGCCTTTAATCCTTTTTAAAAAAAATATTTTTATTGATTTCAGAGAAGAAAGGCAAGGGAGAGACATATAGAAACATCAGTGACAAGAGAGAATCATCGATTGGCTGCCTCCTGCATTCCTGCTGGGGATCCAGCCCACAACCCAGGCATGTGCCCTTGACCGGAATCGAACCCAGGACCCTTCAGTCCACAGGCTGACGCTCTGTCCACTGAGCCAAACCAGCTAAGGCAAGCCCTTGGTTTTTGCATGCCTCTGCTTCTACTTGTGTAGCTCTGACCATGACCTACTCTGCTGAAGCCACATGGCCCTTTGGCTTGCTATTTGACATGCAGAGTAATTTTTATTCTCAGAGCTTTGCCTGGAATGCTCTTTGAATGACTGGCTCATTCTCATCCTTCAGCCTTAGTGTCATCTCTTCAGAAAAGTCTTCTTGAAATTATTTATTCCCCACTAACAGAAAATTCTACTTATTTCCTTTCTAGAACTTATCTCAATAGACAGCTGGGTGGACTGGTCTATGTCTCATTTGTGGTCGTTGTCAAGGATAAGCATCTTGTCTGTCTTGTTTTCTATTATATTTCTAGTTTCTGTGGGTCTGGCATATATATGTATTGAATGTTTATGTCCTTTAGTTTTGGAAGAGTGAGTCCAGGTGACTGACCTAATTATCACCCATCTTATATTATTATCTGATTAGAGTGTTAGCTCCCTAACAGGTACTTGAGGGTAAAAGCTAAACCCTTGTACATTTTACATTCTCAGCTCATACTAGGTGGTTAGCAAATAACTGAACTGAATTGACATAATTTTCAAGACATATGCTCAGTCTCTTGAAAATGTCTCCTAAAACAGCCCTAACTGGTTTGGCTCAGTGGATAGAGCATCTGCCTGCGGACTGAAGGGCCCCAGGTTCAATTCCGGTCAAGGGCATGTACCTTGGTTGCGGGCATATTCCCAGTAGAGGGTGTGCAAAAGGCAGCTGATCAATGTTTCTCTCTCATTGATGTTTCTAACTCTCTATCCTTCTCTCTTCCACTCTGTAAAAAAAAAAAAACCCAACACAATAAAAATTTAAAAAAGGAAAAATGTCTCCGAAAATAGCAGTTGCCAGCCTTTTGGACTTCATGCACCACCCATAGTCCACGGACCACCAGTTGGCGACCCCTGTCCTGGAAGGTCATTGCCATGTTCTCCAGTAGAAGATTCATTGACGTAGAGACAATTAGGATGGACTGATCCATGTCTCATTTGTGGTCATTGTCTGTCTGTCTTCCCAACAGACCCTCAGCCTCCTTGATGAGAGTGTGAAGATGCTTAAAGAGCGTCCAGGGATGGCAGAAGTCCCTCAGCAGCAGATGGGTGTTCCTGTGGTAAAACTGGAGAAAGAGTTGCCATGGGGCAGGGGAAGGGAGGATCCTGGTCCTGAGACTTTTCGGCTGAGGTTTCGGCAGTTCCGCTACCAGGAGGCAGCCGGCCCGCAGGAGGCCCTCAGGAAACTCCAGGAGCTCTGTCGCCAGTGGCTGAGGCCCGAGCTGCACACCAAGGAGCAGATCCTGGAGCTGCTGGTGCTGGAGCAGTTCCTGACCATCCTGCCCCGGGAGTTCTATACCTGGATTCGGGAGCATGGCCCTCAGAGTGGCAAGGCCCTAGTGGCCATGGTGGAGGACTTCACAGAGAGAACACTGGAGGCCAAGGCGGTGGGTGAGAAGGGTGTCTTGGGTCTGGTTTTGTTGGTGTGGTGAGGGGAGATTTAAAGATTTGGAAGGTTTGTGGAAGCGTGGGAGTAGATGAGATGTAGAATCTTTCTCTGTGCCTGTAGTCCCGATGTACTTTTTGAGCGGGTGAAGGGGTAGCAGTGGACTTTATAGCAAGAAAAGCCATTCCCAGGGATTCTCTTTTGGTCATCAGGGCAGAAAGCTGACCAGATGTTCCTTGTGAGCCTCAGACTCAAAAAAGGCAGTAGTGGTGGATTCCAAGGTCCTTCCTTTTTAGGCAGAGCTGATGTGGGAATGCAGGGAAGTCCACTTGGTGAATATTCTTTTTTTTAATTTAATTTTTTAAAAACACATTACTTGTGTTTTTTATTTGTGTGTGTGTGTTTTGTTTTCATCCTCACCTGAGGATATTTTTCCATTATTTCAAGAGAGAGTGTAAGACGGAAAGATAGAAACATCGATGTGAAACATCGATTGGTTGCCTCCTGCATGAACCCTGACTAGGGTGTGGGCTGGGGAGGAGCCTGCAACCCAGTATGTGCCCCTAACCGGAATCAAACTTAGGACCCTCTGGTCTGCAGGCTGATGCTCCATCCACTGAGCCAAACCAGCTCAGTAAGTGAATGTTCTTACTGAGAAGAGGTGTCTGTAACCGTGCTGTTCCGCACCTGGGACGTTGGCTCAGATGACTCACAGCGATTTTGTGGTGGTGCTCTGGTGACACCAAGTAACTGCACTGCAAGTGCTTCCTTGAGACTCTGGTCATGTCTCTGTCACTCTAATACAGCTACCTGATTTTGGGGAGAAAAAAGAGTGACTTTTTCTCACTAGCTAATTTAAAACAAAATATTTTTTATTGATTTCAGAGAGGAAGGGGAGGAGGGAGAGAGAAACATCAATGATGAGAATCATTGCCTCCTGCATGTCCCACAACGGGAATTGAGCCCACAACCCAGGCACGTGCCCCCACCGAGAATCGAACTGTAACCTCTTGGTCCATAGGTCGACACTCAACCACAGCCATGCCGGCCGGGCTCACTAGCTCATTTGTTGCAGAGTGTAGGCTTGGTATTTTCATCATCTGCAACTGGAGAATTTTTTTTTCTAGTAGTGAGATAATATTTTGGCTCTCTGTGATGTTATTTATGGTAAAATTTGACATATATTGAGGCAGACAGAAGGTACCCTTGTAAAATGTCATGGATACACAGAAGTTGCTTAGAGCTTGAGAATGGAGTTTAGCTTCCTTTTCACCTTCTCACTGATATCTTGGTGAAGAGCTGAGCCACCTTGTCCCTTTCCCCTGCAGCTGGAATAATTTTTTTATTGGCTCTTTTTGTAGATTTTATTCAACTCCTTTCATAACAAGGCCTCATTCTAAATAGGTTTTGGGGCCTGTTCTTAGGTTCCATGCCACGTGCAGGGAGAACAGGAGGAGACGGCACTTTGCAGAGGCCCTTGGGAAGCAGGTGTCCACCTGGGACCAGTGGAGGTCAAGCCTGAGTGGGGGATGCCCCATGGGGAAGGTGCTCAAGGCCTCGACCAAGGCGCCGAGGAGCAGCTCAATCAGGACCCTGGTGCTGGGACACAGGCCTTCCAGGAGCCGGGTAAGATGCGAACAGGAAGGAAGGAAGGGCACAGGAAATGGTGCTTTGTGCTCTCTCCCTCCCCCTTTCCTTTACAAACCCAACAATTGATACACTACGTGCAAGGTGTAATTCTGAGTTTTTCTGACTACTTCCTTGACTTCAGTAGGAGAGAGATGAAGTAAAATACCGTCACTCTTTGATTTTATCAGGCAGTATCTCTTGGCATTTGTCTCCTTTCCCTCTCATCTTTTCTAGAAACTGTCAGGAAATAAGCAGCTGACAGGTAGAGATACTTTTAAGTTAGCAGACCAGCCACATCCCTAAAAGTAATGTGTGACTTTATTGTATTACTGAATCTCAAAGGGAACTATTTCCAGCATAGGGAGCATCCATTGTCCTGAAGGGACAGGGTATATTGTGTTGGGACCATTTTCTCAGCTGAGAACAGGAGAGAGTACACTCAGACCCCTATCTGTCTGGAGTCTTTGGGTCCTAGGGTTCTGTGATCAGCAGTGGACCCTTTGAAAGAGCAAACTGTAAGATAGCACTAATCCTGCTCATGTTTTTTCTATCTGCTCAGCTGTTCCACTTCTTCAGGCTGGTCCTGGCCTCCCCACAGTGAACACTAGAGACCAAGAGATGGCAGTTGGGTTCCTCACAGCTGGGCCCCAGGTGAGTTGTCTGCCTTTCCAGTGATCATGATGGAGCTTTGAATGGTTCACTTTCCCCAGGATTTCTCTCCAGCCACAAAGTGGAATTATTCTACCTTCTTGTCCTGACCGTCTTTGTTCTCTCCACTTCACCACCCCCAGTTGTTAACGTGAACTCAGCCTGTGCCTTATGGTCCAGGCATGAGGCCCAATTCACTTGTTTGATTACTCTCTGCATTGTTTTAATTGACCACTCTTTTTAATAGTGAGGAGGAAGGCATTGTTGATAGAACCCATAAGCCTGACCTGGGCTGTGGTAGTTGGTCAGGAGATCAGTAACCCTTTGTGGATACTTTGCTGTTGTTCTTCCTTTGGACCTCCCCACTCGCCCCTTCCCCCCAAGTCAGGAGGAGTGTAGCTGACTGAGGGTTGGGGCCTCTCAGGAGTGCTGAGGAGAGTGGTCTGTCTGGTCCCACTTAAGACCAAAATCAGGAGTTTTGGTCTTGTTTGCACTTCTTAGCCTGCTGTTAGTCGGGGTGACGAGAGCAAAGGTGGGGCACTCTTGCCACAGTGTAAGCCTCTCCCATTAGATTACCGGAGAGGTGTGACTTCCAGTATGGCACCTTTCTAAAAGGGACAATGAGTCTTAAAGTGAGGAGTTCATAGTCAAAGGGAAAACGTCATTTGTCAAAAAAAAAGAAAAAAGAAAAAAAAAGAGAGAAGTGAATCAAGTCTGATCTAGCTAAAGCAGAATTAGGCAAGATTTGATGCCTGTGTCATTTCCTATTCCTGGTTTCTCTGGACAGGGTTTGGAGAAAATACAGAATGACAGCAGTGTGTTTTAATTTGGTCAGACCCTCCTTGTCTACCATAATAGTTCTTTATGGTATCATGAATGGCATTGCATTTATTTTAACAAGGCATTATTAAGGCAATGTTTTAATAATGCCTTGTTTACTTATTTCTGAGGGTAAATTTAATAATGCCTAATGTTTACTTATTTCTGAGGGAAAATTAGTTCGAGCTGACGGGGTAAATAACAGCTCTCAGGCTCGATCAAGTTTGATGATTGAGTGGAAGAGATTGGAAAATAGAAGTTGGATACTGTGTTTAGTGGGTACAAACTAAGCATCTGCAGCAGGAACTCAAAAATAAAATGGCTCAAACAAGTCCATTATTCTGTCATTAAACTGTCTAATGGCAGGTACTTCTGCTCCTAAAGCCAGCTGGGAACACTGTTCCTTCCATCTTCTGGCTCTGTTCTTTCCTAGAGTTTTGGCCCCTGTGGTCTCTCTGCTTTTGGTTTGCTCCTTCTTTGGGATCATTTCTTTACCCACAGTGTGTCTTGTTGTTTCAGGGGCTGGGACCATTTAAAGATATGGCTCTGGCCTTCCCGGAGGAAGAGTGGAGGCATGTGGCCCCGGCCCAGATAGACTGCTTTGGGGAATACGTGGAGCCACAGGACTGTGCAGGTGAGACTGTCTCCATCCCACAGCTAAGAGACAGGCGTTTTGGAAGCTACAGCCTTGCCCCAGACTTCAGAATCTGGTGCTACTGACAAAGGAAGGGGGTTTCATGCAGATACGTACACAGGACCAGAGAAAGAACACGGGCCAAGGGCGTGAGAACGGGCTCGGCGCATTCCTGTGTCAGGAGAGGAGCAGGCAAGGGAAGAAAACACAAGGTAGTTTACTCTGTGATGAGGCAGGTTGGTCATTAGATCCTCTGAGAATCTAATCTGTGTCCATCATTGAAGAGTGCTGAGGGCTTGAGATTAAGAGAAAAGCAGCAAAAGATGGGTCCTCTGATCTTGTTCATTCAGCACGTATTTTTTGAGTACCCCCTGTGTAGGTCCCACATTAGTAGCTTTGTGTTGGAAAGAACTAATATTCCTGAAACCTTTGGGGCATGAGAAAGCATGGTCGGATTTTAGCGACAGGAGGTGTGGGAGTGGACCTGTGTCACTGAGCAAGCAGAGCCTCCATTGGCCTCGTGTGGTGGCTGGGTTTACCTGAGGTGAGAGCGGGGAGAACTTGGTCAGCATGAACATGAAAAGAGCTCACAGGAGGCGGAGTAGCAGGAGGGAAGACTTAGCAGGGTAAAGGCATGCTGGGAAAGCCGGTGGAGGGTCCTGCAGGGGCTTGGGGACTTGCAAGTGAAGAAGAATAGTGTGGAGAATCTCTGGGCTGAGTGGGGAGCACAGTGGGGACAGGAAAAGAAATGTGGTTGGCCTTTCCTTTGTTTTGTCTAATTCTCTTTTCCCCCTTTTAGAACACTGTTTCTTGGCATTATGAGATAATAAATCTAAACATTTGGCAAGCATGGTAACGTTAGATATTCTTATTAGTTGTACAAGTATTATTAAGTAATTACTTTATGAGTCAGTAAGTATTCATTCATTTATTAACCCAGAAATCCTTATTTGGCATTTACTCTGTGGCCAACACTCAAGTAGTCACAATGAAGAGTTAAAAATGAAGGTGCTTGACTCTATGATCTTAGCAGTCCTATGAAGACCCCAAATACCTGTAATAATACTCATTATGGAGTAGTGGAAGGATGTGGAAACTCTCAGATAACTGCCCAGTGCAAGGCCTTGTGCAGCATGTCTCAAATGGAGGTACCATCATTCTAGTGTCTCACTTCCTGCCAGGAATGTACCTCTGTGAGTGATATGACTATGTGGGGGAAGGATTCTGCCCTCGTGTTCCCACAGGGTTTTTACTGGCCGTTTCTGACTGTATGTTTGTCCTCTTATCCACTCATTGTTTCAAACGCTTCCCTAAGCATTTATGTTGAGGCTGGGTGAGATGAAGTTCTGTTTCCCAGGCATACCATCTTCTAGCCATTGCAACCTTCAGGTCTTCTGAGATTCATTCCAAGTAGTTGCAGCTCTTTTTTTTTTTTTTTAAATATATTTTATTGATTTTTATAGAGGAAGGGAGAGAAATAGAGAGCTAGAAATGTCAATGAGAGAGAAACATCGTCCAGCTGCCTCTTGCACGCCCCCTACCGGGGATGTGCCCGCAACCAACGTACATGCCCTTGACCAGAATCGAACCCAGGACCTTTCAGTCCGCAGACCGATGCTCTACCACTGAGCTAAACCGGTTTCGGCAGTAGTAGTTGCAGCTCTTGCATTGATAGCTTTGTATGGTCAGGCCTGAGAAAATAAACATAAGGCCCTGGCTGGGTAGCTGAGTTGGTTAGAGTGTCTTTCCATACATTAAGCTTATGGATTTGATTCCTGTTATCGATGTATAAATAAGTGGTACAACAAATATTATTTTTCTCGGGGTCATGTATTGCATTTAGTTTTAATTTTACTATTTAGAACATCTCAAAATTGGAAACTATCCAAATGAACATCAGTGAAACTAAGAAATAGGTTGGAATATATTCTTACACTGTAATACTACACACCAGTGAAAAAAGAATGTAGTGTAACTACAACTATAAACCATGATATGGGTAAATCTCACAAGCATAATACTGTTGAGTAGAAGCCAGAAACAACATGTAAATCAATTATGTAGAGTTTAAGAACAGGCAAATGCACTTTATGGTGATAAAAGTCTGGATAGCATGCACCCTGCGGGCAAGAGGAAAAGGAGTTTCTGAGGGCTGGTAATATTTGTTGAACTGGATGCTGTTTTCAGGATTGTGTTCATTATGAAAATTCTTTGAGTGCTACATTTATGCTTTGTATACTTTAACTTTCTTGAAAAGTTTATGAAACAAAAGAATACATCAGAAGTTGATACCTGTGTTCTTCATATTTTATCAAATCAGGAAGTATGTAATTTCTGTGTTGTTTTTTGTAAAAAGTATATATTTTTTGATTTCAGAGAGGAAGGGAGAGGTGTAAGAGAGAAACATCAATGATGACAATTGGCTGCCTCCTGCATGCCTCTTAAGTGGGACTTGAGCCCACAGTTGGGGCATGTGCCCTGACGGAATCGATCTGTGACCTTTTGGTTTGTAGGTCAGCGTTCAACCACTGAGCCAGATCGGTTGGGCAATTTCTGTTTTTCTTTTCTTTTCTTTTTTTTTAATCTTTTAATGATTGTGCCTAAAAGGATCTTTTTCCCATTTAAGCACCACTTGTCATTTCTCTCTTGGCTTCTTTGCTTCCTATTAACTTTTTCTCATCTTTTTCTTCTTCCCCTTCCTATGTTCTTCTATAAACAATTGTTTTGTTAATTTAGAGAGTGTAAAAGGGATCAGAGGAAGGACTTCTAGAATGGGCAAGGCATTTCAGTAGCATTCACAGGCATTTCAGTCTTACTAAAGATGTTATTGTAGAGGTGGTCTGGTATAAGAATGTCAGTGACAAACTGGGTTCATTTCTTCATCCAGCGGTCATTAAGCACTTTTCCTGAGTTAGTCCCTGTGCAAGGCTTCCAGGAAACCCAGACTAGTAAAATAAGACCAGGCAGAGGGAGCAGTGTGAGTAGGGAGGTGAGTGGAGCAGGTGAATGGAATAGCAGGAATTACTGGAATAGGTTTATAATCATTGAGATGTTTGGATGAATATAAAGTAGCATTTACAGTGAGGTCATATATAAGTAAGTGCAGAATAAACAAAATGCTAATGAATACTGAAGAGATCCACAGTGAGAGAATAAGCAGGCTGTTGTTTTTTTTAGAGGAAATTGTTGAATTAGATTTTGAAGGAAATAAATCTGAATTAGAAAGTTAAATGAGAAGACATTAAAATTTGGTCAACTACTCTGTAAAAAGGCATGGAACTTGTCTTAGTTCAGAGTGAGATAAGTGGATAAAAAAGCTGTGGTACGTTTATACCACGGAATGCTTTGCAGCTGTGAAAAAGAAGACTCTCTTACCTTTTGAGACAGCATGGAGGGACCTGGAGAGTATGATAACTGAAATAAATCAGTCAGAGAAAGACAAGTATTATATGACCGCACTCAAATGTAGATCCAGAGACATGGAAGCATGGAACAGAGTGCAGAATCTTGGATGGAAGGGGGTAGGGGGGAAGAGAGATGAGGGGAGGGGGAAGGTGATCAACCAAGGACCTTGCAAGCCCATAGACACAGACAGTGAGGCAGTGAGGGCCTGGGGTGGGGGTGGGGTGTGGGCTGGAGGGGGTCAATATGGGAAAAATGGGGACATATGAAATACTTTCAACAATAAAGAATTATTTTTAGAAAGCAACTAAACAACTAAATAAATCTAAAAAAAACAACCAACAACAACAAAAAAAAACTAGGTGATTTAAACAATGGACATTTATTTCTCATAGTTCTTGGGGCTGGAAAATCCAAGATCAAGGTGTCAGCACCGCATTTGTCTGTTTTCATGGGCTGTGCACTTAAGTTGTTTGGCTAATCTCTTCATCTTCTTTTATCCAGTCCCCACCATCCCCCTTCACTCTGACATTTGTAGTCTGTTCCATGTATCCATGCCTCTGGTTCTGTTTTATTCACCAGTTTATTTTGTTCATTAGATTCCACATATTAGTGAAATTATATGGTATTTGTCTCTCTCTGATTGGCTTATTTTGTTTAGCATGATAATCTTCAGGTCCATCCGTGTTGTCACAAAGGGTGAGAGTTCCTTTTCTACAGCCGAGTTGTAGTCCATTGTGTAAATGTATCACAGCCGTTTTGTCCACTCTCCTACTGATGGACATTTGTGTGTTTCCGGATCTTCACTATTGTAAATAACATTTCTGTGGACATAGGGATGCATGTATCTTTTCTGATTTGGTGTTTCGGGATTCTTAGGACATATATCCCAAAGTGGGATCGCTGGGTCAATAGGCAGTTTCATTTTTAATTTTTTGAGGAAACTCCATACTATTTTCCCCAGTGGCTGCACCATTCTGCATTAACATAAATTTACTGTCATTGCTGTTACAGAATCAGTATGTATCTCCTTTGTCCTATAGGCATTGGGAGCAAGGAAAAAGAGGCCAAAATCCAGCAGGCTGACCTCAAGGGGGCGCTTGCTCAGGGGACCTCAGAGAGGTTTGGGGAAGCTGCTCTCCAGAGCCCCGAGCTTGGAAGAACCTGTGAGCAGGAGCCTGGTAATTCTATGGGAAACCTGCCAGGGCCGCCGCCTTCCCGGCATGGCATCCTACCTGTTCCTGACGACCTCAAGACTCACAGCTCCTTCTGGAAGCCTTTTCAGTGCCCTGAGTGTGGAAAAGGCTTCAGCCGGAGCTCAAATCTCGTCAGACACCAGCGAACCCACGAAGAAGAGAAATCCTATGGCTGTGTTGAGTGTGGGAAAGGGTTTACTCTGAGAGAGTACCTCATGAAGCACCAGAGAACCCACCTGGGAAAGAGACCCTATGTGTGCAGTGAGTGCTGGAAAACCTTCAGTCAGAGGCACCACCTGGAGGTCCACCAGCGGAGTCACACGGGGGAGAAGCCCTACAAGTGCGGGGACTGCTGGAAAAGCTTCAGCCGGAGACAGCATCTTCAGGTGCACCGGAGGACTCACACTGGGGAGAAGCCCTACACCTGCGAGTGCGGCAAGAGCTTCAGCAGGAACGCTAATCTGGCCGTGCACCGGCGAGCCCACACCGGGGAGAAGCCGTATGGGTGTCAGGTGTGTGGTAAGCGGTTCAGTAAAGGGGAGCGGCTGGTCAGACACCAGAGGATTCACACAGGGGAGAAGCCCTACCACTGTCTTGCCTGTGGGAGGAGCTTCAACCAGAGGTCCATTCTCAACCGGCACCAGAAAACTCAGCATCGCCAGGAGATTCCCGTGCAGTAAGGGTGCTCTGCGGAAATGCATTTTTGTAATACAAGGTGCTGGACAAGGCGGGACCTTCCTTCCAGGACCACCGAATGGAGGGAGACCGTTCTGGAGGATGTTATTCACCTTTACTCTCTGAAGGATTTTGGAGGGGTTGGTGAGGGTTACAGGGTGCAGAAAGACACCTTGACCCATTTGTTCAAAAGAGAAAGGGCAAGACCAGGCTCATTTTGAGTTCCCAGAGAGCACAGCCTCTCCTGTCTCTTACCCAACTAGTGCTAACAGTTTTCTTACAGTCTTTTGGGAAACGATTTCCTGAGTTTTAGTTCATGTTGAGGTTTTTCTCCTTCAGTGGGATGTTCATATCCACCTCCTGAGCAAGTCTGGTAGTGAAGGCAAAATTTTGTCCATTGTTGGCAGCTTGAACTAATTTTTCTGTGGTCTGTATCCTGCCTGCCAGGATATGGACTCTGTCTGTTTCCTCCCCCCACTCTCTTTTCCACTTAAATATTTATTGAACACCTACTATATGTCTGGCACTGGGAAGATGGTGAATGAGACAGATGAAACCTTTTTCTCCAGGAGCTTTGATTTAGCATTGGAAACACACACAAAACCATTATCGTGTTCTAAGTCACATGTGGTGAGTGCTGTGTAAGAAGATACTCTTGTGCTCACTCATTCTGCCCTTCCTGCTTGGGTGCTGGATCTTCCCCTCTCTTGTCGGGATCCCTCAGGCAGCCTTGTTTATTTTACTTTATTTGTAGCTCCCTTTGACACATTCTACCCTCATCTGTAAAGTTCCCCCATTCCATTCCTTGTATTATAACAACTGTCCACACATTTATTCGGAAATTAATATTTTGTTATCGATCACTAAATAAACATGAGAGTATTTTTAAAAGCATTCAGTTCTGTATAAAGATCTAATTAAGCCTGAAAGATGAACTACTATTAATACTCTATATTTGATGGCATTTTGCAGTATATAAAATGCTTTTCTCTGTGTTCTCACTTGATTAATTCCACACTTATTTATTGAGGCCCAACAGTGTGCCAGAAGCACTTGCAGGTGCTTGACATATATCAGTGAATAAAATCGGAAAATCACTGACTTCGTGGAGCTTACATTTTAGTGAATGTATTTGATCTTCAGAATCACCGAAGGTGGAATGCATGGATGCCCCCATGAACCCTCTGGACCTGGGATCTGAGCGTAGCCTTGGTTCTGTCAGCTTCTTGCCCTGAAATGCATTTGCCATCTATGTCTCGTTACTGAATAATCTCTGTCCTCAGTGCATCTAAATCCTTGTCGTCTGAGGTGCTTGGGGTCTTGAATGCCAACTGGAAGTGATGAGATGGTAGAAATCTGTTTTGCATGAGTGCCAATTTAGGAAAAATAAGTATGTAGGCGTTTAAAAATGCATTTCTTTAAAAATGAAAAAATGCAGTATTTGTAACTGTGTTTAAGCTTTTTATATTATTTTGCCATCACTAAAGGGTTTTCTTTCTGTTTGAAATTCTGAAGACCGCGTAATTCACATGGACTGCACTGCAGTGTTGTAATTCTGTGCCTCTGAATGCTGTCTGCTGAGTAAATTAGTCTTTGTGAACTATAATTGCAAGATGCAATTTGTCTTGTGATGCCTCTTAATATTCTTTCATTGGGATTTTTTATTTTTATTTTTGGTTGTAAATAAGATAAATGGTAATGACTTCAATACAAGGAATTGCAATATTCAGTCCATTTTGAAACACACTACTTCATCTGTTTATTGACAGATAGTCATGGTGTTTAATTTTGATTTAGCAAATGACCTGGCCCCTCAGCTGTCCCCTCCAGGCTACACTTACCAGGGTGTATCTGAGACGTCTACAGTATGAGACTCTGGGCTGCTGCTACTTAGCAGCATCGGGGTCCAGATGCAGAATCGGCATGTTTTTCCCTGTTTTCCAGACAAACCAGGCAAAGCTTATAGCCACTTGGCAGCCAAACCTGATGGAAGCCCCTGCTTCTGGTCTAGACATGAGGGCTGACCTGGCCTAGAGTTTGGGTTTCTCTAGGAGGTCCCTATTCCAAAGCTGGGTGGAAGCATGGGGCCACCATGTGGTCTTTCAGTTTACTTGAATTAAGTTGTAGATTCTCTTTGATCATACACTTAGCCAGAGATGTCTCTGGGTTTTTAGCTAGTTGGAATCTCCTGAGAGAAGCTTGGATAAAGTCAGGCCTTGCTGTCTTCCCATTTGGCTTCCCTGCCTGTTTAGAGACCAAAGCTTGTGGACAATGCCTCAAAAATGTCTCAAAAGCGAATTTTCCCCATGGAAATGTAGTAGCCTTATTTTTATTTTATTATTTTTTAAATGATTATGGTATCACATAATTATCCTCATTCTCCCAAACTTACCCCAAACCCCTCTCCATATATGCTCCCACCTCCCTGTTGTCCATGACCACTGGTTATAGTAGCCTTATTTTTAAATGTCAAATATTTTATTTTCTGTATATTTCTATTTAGAGATTTGTTATAGGAAATTTCAAATATATATAAGTGAGTCCTCATGTATTCATCGTTCTCCTTTAATCATTATAAACTCATAGCCAATCTTGCTTTATTTCTAATCTCTCCTCTTCCTCCCTCATTGAAGTACTTTGAAGCAAATCCTAAATGTTGTTTATATTTTGGCGTGTACCTCTAAAAGGTAAGGACTCTAAAAGCATAATCACAATACTATTACCTAAAAAGTTAATAATTCCTGATTTCCCAATTAATGTTGTGTTTTTTTTTTAAAAACCCACATGCTTTTTTTTTTTTTAGAACCTTTGAGTTAAGATTCAAGATCCATAATTACAACTTGTTGTTTTGTCTTCTAAGTCTAATAATCAGTAGCTCCTATATTTTTTAAAATATATTTTATTGATTTTTTACAGAGAGGAAGGGAGAGAGGGATAGCTAGAAATATCGATGAGAGAGAAACATCAACCAGCTGCCTCCTGCACACCCCCTACCGGGGATGTGCCCACAACCAAGGTACATGCCCTTGACCGGAATCAAACCTGGGACCTTTTAGTCCACAGACCGATGCTCTATCCACTGAGCCAAATAGGTTTCAGCTTTTTTTTCCTTCTTGAAATTCATTTACTGGGACAATTGAGTTCTTTATCCTGTAGAGTTTCTTACATTCTGAATTTTGTTGTTTGTATACCCATAGCATTTAATATATTAATAGTTACCTGCTCTCTGTATCAACTAAAAACTTACAGATCTAGGGGTGTAACCAGATTTACATTTAACATATTATCAAGAATAAATAGATGCTGGACTCAGAGTGTTGAGGACATTGATGGGGACACCACTGAAATAATAGAGGAGAGAGTGGGAAAGAGCACAACCTCTGTGACTAACTGAGAATCAGTTCCAGTCCTGAAACTAGGTTCAACAGAAGACTGGACTGGATTTTAGGTAGTTTGGAATCTCTATTCAAGAAAAAAACCCAATTCCCTTTTGTTTTCTTTTGAATGTTTTATTTTACCATCCCTTCTTAGTGAAATACCTTAAGTTGTATTCTTTTGTGCTTGATAAAGAAAGGAATGTCCTGATTTATTGGAGGAAAAGGAAGGGTTTATGCTGCCAAGTCTGTAAGGATGGCTGAGCTGAACTTTTAACAGTTGACCCATGTGCAGGTTGAGGAAGAGAACATTCCTATCAATTTACCTGTCAGCAAGCAGCTCCTGGGCTAGGATCAGAAGTCTTAAAGGTGTTTGCCATAAGAGAATTTTCCTTCCTTAGAAGAGCCAGAAGTCTTTAGAGTCAGAAAGCCTTCTCACAATCCACCAGTAAGCAAGCTCAGTTGAAGGTCTTTCATATTTATTGCTGCTCTTTTATTAAAAAAAAATTTTTTTTTTTACCTTGAAGCCAAACTATTGTACTACTCACCATTATAGCAAACTAGAGGCCTGCTGCATGAATTCATGCACCAGTGGGGGCTGGCTGGCCTGCCCTGATCAAGGCCAAGATAGGGCTGGTGGAGGGGGGGCAGGAGAGGGGTGGGCAGTGGTGGGAATGCAGGAGGTTGGCTGGCTGGGGGAAAGAGCTGCAGGCCGTTGGCTACCCGGCCTCACCCTGGATTGAGGTGGGAGTGGGCCCGATTGGGCCAGGGAGGGCCTGGGGAGGTTGGCTGGCTGGCCCCGCCCCTAGGTTGAACTCCCAGTGGAGGGGACAATTTGCATATTAGCCTTTTTTTATATATAGGATATTTATTAAAGGAAGACCTCTTCATGTTTCCATCAATTTTTCTACACACCATTTTTACATGTTTAAGGTGAGATTTTGTTACTTTTATTGTGGTTTTATAATATATTAGAGACCTAGGGAAGTATAAATTATGCCCTGGCAATCATCCCAACTCCTAGGGCTTCCAAGGAGACAATTTAAGGAACAATAGTAAACTTTGTGCCAAAGTACCACTTTGTTAGTATCTGAGTTGTACCCAATAACCTCCATCATTAGGATCAGTGGTAAAAAGTGAGCTGGAAAATAGTCTAGGCCTACCTTCCTTCCCTCTCCAGCTCCAGATCTGAATTGAGGACCTGTGTGTGCAGGCATTGTGTGTGTGGTTGATTGGACCCCAACTGGGGACTCCAGCCAGACACAGATAGAAGAGGACTAATCAGAGCCAGGCTGGAAGGAGGGAGCTTCATTTCTGGATGCTGACCTTTCAGGGCACACTGCCCTTCATAAGATATGTGCCAGTGAACTCCCCCGGCTCAGACCAACCAGATTGATAACTCTTCTTCCTTAGAGGAGGATGGGGAGATATAGAATGTATTGGCTAAGGTGAAATCATGGGAGAAAGGCCTTAAGTGTTCTTTCTCCAGTGTTGGTCATTAATGTCATTGTCATTTTCATCATAGTCTATAGCAGCATACTTTTATTGAGAAATTATTTCAAATCAAGCACTGTGATAATCTTTTGAGGATGAAGTTATTACCATGAACAGGACCTTTTATAAAATTTAAAAAGGACCCACAATCCTGTTTGAAATGGAGTTGGGGTGAACATGGATCATACAAAGCAAAGTATGAAAAGGGTTGTAATAGGATTTGAATTATATGGAATTCCAGAGAAGAGAAATTCTTTTGGTTAGGAGACTCGAGGTGGCTTCTTGAAGGGCATCTGATTTTATCTAATCCAACTAGAATTTTGGTAGAAATGGGCAAGATGGGCCTGCTGAATAGCATGAATAGGAATTGAAAAAGTACGGTGTATTTGCCAGACTGGTAAATTTCAAGTGGCCTGAAGTCAAATGGCTAGTAATTGGAGGGGCCAGGACTAGAAACCAGTTGTTAAGACTTTCTGTGTAATGTTTTTTCCAGTTCTGCCTCACTTCGTAGAACATAGAATATTTTACAAGAAACCAAATACAACTTCTCCAATCATAAACTCATTTTATGAGGCTTTTCCTCTTTGTTTCATTCTCCAACTCAACTTATGGAGAAACATTTTCCTAAAGTTTATGGTGGCTTATTCCCTTTATGTTCTTCATTCACAGAGAATTATCTCTAACTCTAGCCTCTTTTCTCTCGTTACCACCCTGTGGATGGCAGGCCTTTCTTTCCTAAGAGAACACAGAAATAAAGTAGTTCGAGGTCTGCTTAGGTGCTCAAATAAAAACAGTCACTTGTAGACATTGCTAATTTAAGTATCTCCAGCCATGGAACTCCCATCTAGCAGGGTCCAAGGCCAAGAGTGGGACACCTGTGGGAAGAATGATCATTCTGTACTCAGAACTAGGTTCAACCCGGAATGTAGAAATGTTGGCTGAAGAAGTGGGGGTGGAGTGGCGGAGTTTGGAAATTGGAATTCCTTTTTTTTTAAAAAAAATAAAAAATATATTTTATTGATTTTGTACAGAGAGGGAGAGAGATAGAGAGTTAGAAATATCGATGAGAGAGAGTCATCGATCAGCTGCCTCTTGCACACCTCCTACTGGGGATATGCCCGCAACCAAGGTACATGCCCTTTACCGGAATCGAACCCGGGACCTTTCAATCCTCAAGCCGATGCTCTATCCATTGAGCCAAACCGGTTTCGGCTGGAAATTGGAATTCTTAAGGGTTAAGTATTTGAGGAATGTGGGGGTGACTGGGGGTTTTCAGAGAGCACCCCTTTGGCAAAGGCATCAACACAGGTCACAGATTTCTATGAGTTGACTTTTTCATGTAGAATGTTGGCCTTTTCAGAAGATCTCTGGATAAAGTGAATTTGCATCTGTTTATATGGTTCTGTCTTTAGGGGAGAATTTATCTCCCTCTTGATAGTTTGGGTTGTCTGTGCAGGGGCCAAGAAATTTTGTTTTGTTATTTAAATTTTTAAAAAAAATTTGATTTGAGAGAGAGAGAGAGAGTGATCAATTTCTTTGCTGTTTCAGTTATTTTTTAAATTGATTTATTTTTATTTATTTATTTATTTATTTTTTTAAGAGAGGAAAGGAGAGGGAGAGAGAGATAGAAACATGGATGAGAATTCCAGAGGAGAGAAATTCTGAATATCCCCTAGCAGGGATTGAGTCTGCAATGTGGGCATGCGCCCTGACTGGAGATTAAACCAGCAACCTTTCCGTGTATGGGACGACACACAACCAACTGAACCATACTGGCCAGGGCTTGTTTTATTGATGCAACCATTGGTTAATCCTTGTATGTGCTCTAACTGAGGATCAAATCCACAACCTTGATTGTATTGGGATGATGTTCGAATCAACTGAACTACAGGGCCAGGGCCCCAAGAAATTTTGGACTGGCAAATTACTTAGGGAGCCATAGCCACGGTGACAACCCAGGGTAATGGAGTCTGTGTTCCTCCTGCCCTCTGTATGTGCAGCCTGTCCCTGGGTTCATTCTCCTCTTCCCAGCACAAAGACCCTGAGGTGGAACTCTACTGTCCATAGCCCACAGGATAAAGCCTTCACACTGAACAGTTTCCTTAGAGCTCTCTTCATGTCCTTGTTTCTGAGGCAGTAAATGAAGGGGTTCAGCATGGGAGTGACCACCATATACATTATTGAAGCCAGTGAGTCCTTGTCAGCTGAATGGGAAGATGAGGGGTTCAGGTAGACCCCTGTGATAGTCCCATAGAAGAGGATGACCACAGTGAGATGGGAACCACAGGTAGAAAAGGCCTTTTGTTTGCCTCTGGCAGATGGGATCTTGAGCACAGCGGACACAATGTGCACATAAGAGATGAGAATGCCAAGGAAGGGGATGAGGACAATCAAGCCCCCCACCAGCAGAATCATGAGTTGGTTGAGTTGGGTGTTGGAACAGGATAGTTGGAGCAGGGGGACGAGGTCACAAAAGAAGTAAGGGATGGCATTGTTGGCACAGAACTCCAGTCGAGCCATGAGGACGGTGTGCAGCAGGGAGTGGAAGTTAGCGACGAGCCAGGAGCTCCCCAGCATCAGGGCACAGGCTTGCAGGCCCATCCTCGTGGAGTAGTGCAGGGGGTGGCAGATGGCCACATAGCGGTCATAAGCCATTGCTGTCAGGAGGAAGTTGTCCATGTTGGCAAGCAAAATGCAGAAGTAGATCTGAGTTAGGCAGCCGCCATA